CTTCTCCATGCCTTCCACCCTTTTGGACACATGACTGCACAAAGCACAATTTTGCTAAGCGACGGTAAAACGTACCACGACCTTGTGAACGACAGTTGGCTCACCACGCGGGCTTTGTCATTGCATGGGCACACAAGACCGGCAAGGGTACTGAACCGAATTGCAACAGTGCAGTGTTCCATTCGAAGTGCTTCAGCCACGTAGCATAGGGACTTCTGAAGACTGTAGTGGGAAGAGGTCACGAGAGTGGGCGCCCTGCAGTTCCTCAGGCTATCGTCCTGCATCTGGCCTGGAACAAGGACACGAAAGGGGAAGACAACCCTCAGGACTCCGAATGCTGAAAGATGTTGGCAAAAAAACGTGTCGCAGAAAGGAGGACTCAAGGTTCACATTACGGGTTGTTCGACTTCGTGCCAGGTGGGCGGCTTTATGGCTATCTGGGGCGGTTATACTTTCGTGCTTGGGTTCCTCATTGTGTTCCGCAACAACCAGGCAGGAGAAGTCGTTCATGTGGTCCCGTGCATCCACACATATCCACACCGCCTGGAGGCCTACAACAGATTTTGGGAGGCAGCATCAAAAATGCACGAGCTGCGCGGTGAGTTGTTCAACTGCGCCAGCACACTGTGTGCATATTGCTGCGAGCCCACGACACTTGAGATGATTCTCAAATACCCAAGTTTGCATAACCGATGAGTTAGCATCCGGACCCGATGGCTGAGATATGGAGCTTGGATTTAGGGTGCCCGATGCTCGATAAGGACCGAACCTGCTAAGCAGCAAGTGGAAGAGTTTCAACACCTTCTCATACGTTTGATGAGCTACTTGGCTGCAAGATACTGCAGGGTGCAATTCAGTCAACGACTTACTTTCAAAGGTTTCGGATCATTTCGGCCACTGATGGCCTACTCAGGCCTGCTATTTTCGTCTTGCTGTCATGACATTGCCAGCGAAGATCCAAATACAGCCGCCAAGAAGAAATCAAGCACCACCACGGCAATGGACGGCGTGAAGGCCGCGCTGTGTCGAGTCAGTGTCGAGTCCCAGAGCATTAGCAAAAGCAGCGGCAGTGGTCTTGCAGGCGCACAACTTGAAAATGCAGGCCAGTCCGAAAGTGGCAAGTGGTGTAGAGATTGCTTGATCCCAAGATATCCCAAGCGATTTTTTGACCATTTATCAAGCCCTCGGTTCTAGGTTCTCCCCCTGCCAGAGGCTGATGCATCAACTAGGTCCGGAGAATACGTCTGCAGTTTCGCACAGGGTGCTCGGAACTTAGGATTGGTAACCCCAAAGTCGTGTGGGTCGGTCCGCAATCGCCCGAAAAGCTTCCTTAAGCTTCTTCTTACGGACTCCGGGAGACTCGGCATATCTCGGCATACAAATCAGAATCTGCGACCCTGAGACTTTAAAGGGTACGGTGTGCAAGGATAATCTTGACAAAGCTTGCAGGTCATGGACTTGGGAGGAATGTGTGAGCAGAGTGGCCTACCTGCAATTACCTGCAGCCTGAGGCGATCCCGTTTGGTCCTCTATGCATGTGCCAAGATAATTCCTGATTCTTTGCGCAAAGTTGATCAAGAGGACTCCATTTCCAAAAAGAGACTTCTCTCTCCATTTGAACCTCACTTTTTTTACGTGTAATTTTGATATGTTTTGATAATCGGCCAAGACCACCTCGAGGCCTGTACCACCTGAACCACGCGCCGAGCAGGCCTCTCCTGCCGCCACAATCCTTTCACCCAAAGGATCTCCAGTTTTATCAGTTTAAGAGAGTCAGTTTTGTGTATTTTTGTGTATAGGTGTGTATAACAGAGCGTCTATCATGACGATTGTCGGATCGTGGCATGATCGTCCCCCTGTAGGTGCGAAGTAATCAGTCAATGGATCTACAGGCCGAGACCCCGGTTAGATGTGTTGCAACAGTTGAAAATGCATGAGTCCTTCTGAAAGCATGCATAGTTAGGTGGGCCAACAGCTGGTGAAACAATACCAGTGACTCAGGCTCATTGTGCAAAAGGCACGCGAAGAAGTTGTGGGCAATCCAAAGATCAAAGTTCTGGATGTGCCGCCTCCAATTTTGGGCCGCCCATTGGCAGATTTGGCGTCTGCTCTTGCTGACGTCTACCGGGTGACAAAGCCGCATCACACTCTTTTTGGAGATAGCGACAGCCTGGTTTGAGGCACAGGGTGTAAGGCCAAGCAAAAGAAGCTTTCATAAACGGGGCATTCTAAGACAGACCCCAGCTTTGGGTTATGACGCGGGTTTTGGGCGATGATGATGGAAACTATGTGTGGTTGAACCATACCCAGCCTGAGCACCACTTACACTTCTGGATTCGCAAGTGGCCTTAAAGCTGGCTTGCTGGAGTCTTTCGCTTTGCCCTTTGGCCTTTTGAGGCACGAAAGATTGCAGAGATCCCATTTCCTTTTCCATATGCGCAGATGATACTGGACATGCTGCTGGTGTTCTCAATTGTCGAAGCCTCGTCTGGTTGAGCTTTTAGGTGCTCGACACTGAGATTTATGAGTCATTGCTTGCAGAGGCTGGAAACGGTCACTTAGGTCACGCCAGTGTTGGCAAGCCAGTTGGTGAGTTCAACTGCAATGGCCTCCAGCATGCAGTAACAGCGGCACTTTTCCATTTTGTCAAGCCAGCCGCTAAGTTTGAGAGCACAAACGACAGGATTGGTTGGTGTCGTTTCCGAGCCTGAACTGGCCCGATAAGAATCGAGAATGATGGTTTTCTAAGAAACCATACTTTTCTTGGCCGCTACGCGCGGCCTAAATTCTGTTTATCAAGCGGGGCAGAAAATGCGATTGCGTTTGTGGCGCGGCCGTGCGGAAATCTGAGCAGACAAGCGAAGACGCAAAGACACCGGAAAACGAGCGACGACGATAGACGACGAGCGAGGCCGTCGTCGCTCGACGCCCGGCGTCGCTCGGCGACATGACGGACATGAGACGCGGTCAAAATTACCGCTTACTTATTTTAGTAGAGGGTGTAGTTGTTGCGGCAAAATGCCGAGGATCGATAGGGGACGCGCTAAAATGATACTGTTATTTGATACTATAGGATAAAAGTGCGGTAGGTGAAAAACATGGAAAACGATAGGGGACGCACTAATTCAAAAACAAGCAAGGCTTAAACAAGTGATTTTGACGCCGACTCACATGGGGAAAGAGTTTAACCTCTAGGGCTTTTAGGGATTCGGGGGTACAGGGTTTAGGGCAGCTGAGGGGGAGGAGCCGAAAAACATCGAAAAACCAAACGCACCCCGCAACTCTAAACCCTGAAGAGGCACCATTTTGGGGTGAAGGCTTGATAAGGAGCCAAAGCTCAAGACAGTTAACTTTAGACCTCTACTGGGGTCATGGTGCTATCGTCTCCCCGAATTTCTCGTTTTCTGGAGTCCGAGACGAGGAGCCGGATGCTGTGACGCGCTTCCGGGGACGGGCCGGATTTGTCTCCCTTCATATTGTGCTATTGTCTCCCCTCATGTCTCGTTTTCTGGTGTACAGGACGGGGAGCCGGATGCTGTGACGCACTTTTCGGGATCGGCGGCAGCATTTGTCTCCTGTTGTCTCCTTTCATAACGTGCTGTTGTCTCCCCTCATGTCTTGTTTCTGATGTCCTAGACAGGGAGCCGGATGCTGTGACGCGCTAATGGGGACGGGCAGGATTTGTCTGGGGAGCTATTTTCTTCCCCGCTCATGTTTCGTTTTCTGGTGCATAGGACGGAGAGCCGGATGCTGTGACGCGCTTCTAGGGATCGGCAGGATCTGTCTCCGCTCATAACGTGCTATTGGCCCCTCATGTCTCGTTTTCTGGAGTCCGAGACGGGGAGCCGGATGCCGTAACGCGATACTGGGGGAGGGGCAGGATTTGTCTTCCTTCAGAACGTGCTATTGTCTCCTTCATGATGTTTTTTTTCGGTCTCTGAGCATGTGGTTGCTTGTCTTCATTTTGTCGGCATGTGCTTTGTCCATTGTTTTTCTGCTGTCCGAGATGGGGAAACAGATGCTGTGATGTTTTCGCTAAAGGCAAGGTTTGCTTTTCTTCATGCTATGCTATTGTTTTCCTTGATGTCTCGTTTCCTACTGTCTGAGTTAGAGGGCGACATATTCTGGGCGTAGTGTTTCCTTTCCTCCTGCAAAATCTTGGTAAACCATGTTTGCACATTGCATGAACATTGTCAGGTAGAAGACGTGAGGCTGACAACCCCAGACTCTAGACGTTTTTGATTCGGAATCTAGAATTTACTCGAGGACAACATGCTGAATCTCAAGCAACATCTTGATTCCGTACCTTCGTTGACTTAGTGAGCGCTGTTTTGTTCCAGCCGCAGCAGTCTGCCACTTGACGCTGCGCAGTCATAGCTGATATCTGCGCGTGAACAAATGCCCAGTTCCCTCACACCCTTACTTACGATTCAACCGCAAACCTTGTCGTGTTGCGACCAGAATGCTGAGCTAGCTCTGCGTTTTGCCTTTGGGGTGGGATGGCGAAACCCCTCCCGTGGAGTATTTGCTGGCTGTTCCATACATTATGCAACCTGTAAGCTCCTCCTTTTTGTAGTTTGTGCTGTTTGGGGTCGAGGCTGGTGTAATCTGTTGTGTCTTTTGTGGAGTACCTTTTGGTAAAGCGGCGTGCCACTGGGGTGTTTGCATTTCCCACTTGGAGTACCTTAACACGCTTCCAAGGACCCCGCGAAAGCCCCCTGCCTGAGCCTGAAACTTGCAGAGTCCCTGAAAGCCTTGCCCCTATATCGTCTCCTGAACGCCAAGGAGCAACGACACCGTTTTCAAGCTCATATAGGATTCCGTCCCAAGATGATCCAAGTTCTGTTTCCATAAACCAAGACAAACAAACGAAGACATTAGAGAACGAGCGTTAAAAAACGAAACAAGGAGCAAAGAAAAAATAGCAAAAACGAGCGAAGACAAGCGAAGAGTTGCGAAGACGAGAGAGAGAGAGCGAAGACACAAAGACATGCGAACACGAGTAAAGACACGCGCAGACACGCAATTGACGAGAGACGCCGAGCGAAGACAAGCGAAGACGAGCGAAGACTAGTGAAGACAAGTGATCACTCGGCTTCACTCGGCATACCTCGGCATGGTTCGTCTTCGCTCGGCGCTCAGGCGCGTGGCCGCGCTCGGCGTGGCTGGGCGTCACTCGGAGTCGCTCAGCGTCGCTCGCCAGGAGTGTTTTTGTGACCATACTGCCCCCACGCTACGGATTCCCGGCGGAGCCCCTGGCAAAGTCGACTTGCGAACTTTTGTTGCCCTGTTCGCAGTCTTCGCACTCGTTCGCGCCGTTCACGGTGTTCGCGGTTTTCGCGCTGCATGTTCACAATTTCAACACGCGTTGTTATAGCGCTGTTCGTGCTGTTGGTGGTGTTGACGCTGTCCGCGCTGTTGGTAGCGCTGTTCGCAGTGTTTGCGCGGTTCACGGTGTTGACACAGCTCGCGCTGTTTGCGGTTTCCGTGTTTTGTTTACGATGCTGACGATGTTTGCGCTGCTAGCCTAGCTCTTGTTCGCGCTTCTTGGCCATGTTCGCGGGCGATCAGGGCGCTATGCTGCTCACGAGTGTCCGCACTCTCTTTGGAATACAGGCTGAAAAAATTCCCTCCGGCGCCCGAAAAGAAGGTTTCCCACCCCTTGGCCGGAATCCGTATACGGGTCACTATACGGGCCTGAAAATGCCGCGCATCAAAAGCGCAGAAGGACTCCGACCAATTGTTGAACAGACCATACAATGTATTGAACGAAAACGTTTTCTCTATAGATGTGCAATACTCAATGCACCTACAAGACTTGATAAGCAACAAAGTGTGTGTGTGTGTGAATATGTACGCAATGACTTCAGCGCAGCAAGGCCTTTGCCTTGGGAGCCAAGGCTGCTCTGGCGACCTTCTGCGTAACTGCTGGCTACTGGGCCTTGTTCCACATTGCTGACGAAATCGACCAGCCATTTGGAATGGATCCCAATGACCTGAAGTTGAATAACATGCAGCGGGATTTCAACGAGACTTGGCATGATTTGGCACTTTGGGGCTGGGAACTTAAAGTGTGCCTGGCCAGCTTTTCTCACGCACTTTCCGGAAATGTGGCGTCACATGTTCAACAGTCCGGCATGGAGTCCAAAGCCATGACCCCGGCAGTGGCCGCATCAATGGTCCTTCTCTTCTGGTCCGGATTCGGAGCTGAGCTAGCTGAGCCCTGCATTGGGAGATTGAGCATTACGAGTTTCGAAGGCTTCAACATGAAACCCTCCAGATGCCTCGTCTAGACGGTTGCGATGGTTGGGAACTCAACAACGGTATTTCTTACCAGGTTGGAGGCCTACAACTCGAAGGCTTGAAAGGAGGCAATAGCATTCGGACTGGTGGTGCAACGCAATGCCAGCAGAAGGCCTCAGAATGTCGGATTCGAGGTTGGTCGGAACAGGGACGCTGATGATGTGAATTCTGTATAATCTTCAGAAAAAAGGACAAGCTCCAAGTGGCTCCAAACTCCAAGTAAGAACGAGCCGAGCTGTGCAAGTGGCGCCTCGATGGTTGATATGGTTGCCACTTGTAGGTGACACTTCGAAGCCTTACGTTTGAGCCAGTAGGGCATGCCATGATATGCCATGCTGTGTACCGAGGCCAGCTTGAAAGCCTTGCTAGCTCCGCAGACCCAAACCGTGCCTTCTTTCAGCAGCGGGGCCAGCTGCTTTCCTGCAGAATCGTGCCCTTCGGTCATGCCACGCTGCCTCATTTCTTTCCAGCTGCTCGTGCATGTTGCGCACACCCGCCCAGGACTTCACAGGCTTTCCACAATCGAGATTGGCCCCCACTTCCCGCCAGTAAGAACTGGAGTCTGGCGTCTTGGACAGAGAGTCTTGTGTTTTGTTCCCCAAACAGGTGCCAACACTCGGGGTTCTTCATTCATAAGAGCAATGTGGACGTACGGTTCAGCTAAGCGGGCGGCAAAAAATGAGAGCCAAAAGGTGTTCAATTGATTTGCGGGCGCGGCGCCCGCGATTACGCAGATGCGATTCCTTGATTCCTCGAGTGGTGGTTGCATTTCGGACGAAGCTTGCACTTTTTACAAAGCGCGGGTGCGGACATGGATTTCTCGGGGCCTTGAAACATCGAAATCACACGCTTGGCTTGTGGATGGTGTCGCATCGCCTCGTGCATGTTCTGGTGTTTGTGGAAGTCGTGCTCTCCGCCTAGATCCCGTGCACTTCTTTGAGACTTGCATCGCTTCGCGTCTTGAAAACGTGGCCGGCGCGTGGATTCCTGCGTTTTGGGCCGTTGGATGAGTTGGATGGGTTCGCTGCGTGTGGCCAGACAAAGGGGTTGCCATTCGCGATGTGGGAAATCGCGCTCCCGCCTAGGCGCTGTGCGCATCGACGTCGTCATCCTTGGACATCTGGCCGTGGTTGCTCGAAAGTCGACTTTTGAAGTACAAACATAGGACATCCAGTGGCAGCCCGAATTTTGAGTACAAAGGCAGTATGCGGACGATCTTTCCGACAGCCTATGAGGCGTACTCCCTGAAGTTGCATGCCAAGGTGGCTGGATGAGACGTGTCCTGGGGGTCTGCTGGCAAATCAAGTGCTGGGTTCCTGCTGCGATCTCCTGACGTTCTGGTCTTGTCGTGCTCTGCTGCTGGAGCTACTTCTAATCTTTTTTCCTGGCGTTTGGAAAGCTTGGCATGCTCTTTTTGACCCCCATGTGGTCTCTCACTGTTTGGGGTTCTGGATGGTCCTGGCATAGTTTTGGCTTCCCAAGCCTTGCCATTCCTTCAAAGAGCATCAAAGAGCATGAGGCCAGCAAAGCATGGGCTGGGTGCGCGAGACAGGCGGCGAATTTCATTGCAGCTTCCAGTTTGACATGTTTGGCGAATGCAGCATCACTTCACTTCGCCATGCTTTGCGTGCACTTGTGTCGGAGAGATGAGGTGGGTATAGAAGTGAAGCTAGTTTTTCGTTGGCTGTGCCAGTTGGGTTTGGGGCTTAGTTGGTGCAAGTTCGGGACGCACATGTCTTCTTCCGACTGATTGGCACTATGATACACCGCTTGTTTGCTTGCAACGGTGGGGCAGGCCTCAACAAGTCGGTTCCGCGACGGCTGCGGACATCACGAGTGTTGACGAGGCATCCGAAAGAAAGGAGGAGTTGTGCATCTGGGCATTGGCTGTCCCGTCGACACAAAACCCGCTCATCACGGGTCCTTTGGCCACTGCCCTTAGCCATTGCATACCTAGTGCGTTATGTATCTGGGTCTGGGCAAAACTGGCAAAACACGAAACGGCTGGACCGACGTCCCCTTCCAAGAACATTTAATGAAAATAGTCGAAGCTCATGTCTTCCCTTTTGGAGCGGTCAACCGGGTCAATTATATACTATATATAATTTTCCCAACAGTAGGATGAGTCTATCTAGATTAACAGGGATTGGAGATAAGAAAGGATGAAAAGAACAGCCTGAGGAGCTGAGGGGTCAAGGGCGGTTTTCGGGATGTAAGGGGGGCCGGGCCGAAAAGGCCAGCGGACTCTTTCTTTTGCTGTGCTTTTCTTGTGTAATCATAGTGAAGAAATACACCCTCCACGTCAGTGTATGTTGTATCAGAGACCCAGAAGAGATCTGCTTTGCAGAGAAGGTGCTCTAAGAGTTTGAGGGTTTGGGCTTGAGGATTTAGACTCCAAACTTGGTTGAGAAAACAACAAAGCTTGAATTCTTGACAAAAAAATATCGGGCCCCTGCAACTTGGGAGCTCGGAGCCCGCTCTGGGACCCCAAACAGTGAATGGCCCGGCACGTGACTCCAACAAAACAGTCCCCAAACACATCGTTGCAGGTGAGCCTCAGCGTGGAGGTGGGGAGCTCGAAAGCATCCGTTGTTTCAGCCAGCAATGCTAGGTTTGTACTTATAAGCATATGTGAAATCTGCAGTCTGGCCTGCTGACTGCCGGGAGAGTTCGCTTGCCGCATGCCATTCAGGGCTTATACCCAATGTATTAACGGGCTCGGTATGATTGGCGCGTGCATGCATGCACCTGTTGGGTGCTTTTGGAACAAAGGTGAGCACCTCGCAGTCTCCAGAAGGATCGCGATCTCGAAGTGCTTTGCCAGCATACGTGGAAGTATCAGGAAGCCAAAGTGACCCTGTGCCATCGTGTGCTTGGGCACGCTTGCAGGTGCGTCCCTGGGAAAGAAGATAAAAAAGAAGAAGCAATGATCTTGGTTCCCACTTCCTTTTCGCATTTATTGTTTGTTCCAGCCACAGTCCAACTCGCGTCTTGAGGTCGCGTGGAATGCCTCAAGAAGCCGGGCCAAGCTCCAAGACTTTCGAACGAAGTATGCAGCGACTGCTCAAGTTGGGCTTGCAGAAGAGCTCCGACCCGTGGGGTTCATGTTTTTGTTCGCGCTCGCAGGCCGCATTGTAGAACTGTCAGGACTGCCCCGGATGTGGGTGCGGCAGGTATGTTAGCAGCATGTCCTACATGTATCTGCATATTCATGTGTTATCATTTGAGTAAAGAGCACACGATAAAACGCTACAGTGGCCGGCCCCGAGCGGCCTCGAAGATCGGGAGCACTTGGACGTTATGTCGTCTCGTCGTGCCGTGCATGCGCAAACTGCAGGCTGAGTCGGGACTCGAGTCGGGACAGTGACTCCTGGCCTCGTTCTACTCACTACTCACTGCCGTAGATTTGCCCGCCCGGTAGTCGCGTCTCTTCAGGAACCTTTGCTCGTCCTGGTGGTTGGACCGAAGTGTTTGCGCAGTTGCTTTGTTGATCCTGCTGAACGTGTGAAACAATGCCGCTTGGCGTGGCTTGCGCAGTGCTGCTCCGGACACCGACACAACCGGATCAACTAGGGATATTCTTTTCAACAGTAGAAAGCTGCCTGATGACTGCTGCGAAAATCTGTGCGTTTGAGGGTTGTTGGTATGTGGTCAGCTGCAGACTCTGCAGACTCTAAGGGCATGTTTAACTGTTGGCACTTGGCGGCCCCTTGCAAAGCATAGCCCACCTGCATTTCCTCAGAGAGATGTTAGGCTCGACGGATGTGGGCGCGTTACGGCACAGAGTCTCGGCAAAGCAGACCGCCGCGACGACAAATCATTACATCGAGGTTTGTTTTGCTGCACTGCACTTGCGCAGCTTGCGACCTGTTCTTCAAAACCTGCATGAATGGTTGGTCTAACCACCGTCACATTGGCTGGACTCCTGTGGTTTCCCTCACTTTTTGCGATGTTCGCATGGATCCCATGGTTTCCCCGTCCGTTTGTTGTTCAGCTTCAGGTGTTGGATCAGACCTGTCAAGTATGCAATGTCCCGAAGTAGAATTGGAACTCATGTCGGTGCCGTCAAGGCATCTTTGCTTTTCAATGGGTGCTGATCCATAAGATGAAGAATGTGCAAAAACACTACGCGCGCAACGACCGCACAAGAAATCTTCAAGGTCCGTGCAAGGTCTTGAAGAGCCCGTGCAGCATCCATAACATGCCTGATCTGACATGGGCCTGCACCTGCGTAGGTTCCAACCCGACAAATGTACACAGAAATCCTGCGCAAGATCCGTGCCTGGTGCGCTCATGCGCGCGTGACCTTTACAAGCCCCTGGACCATGTAATCATCCTGTATCAATCTGTGTTGCCAACAGGTCGCTGAATATTGGCACTTGTCCTGTCCAACATCCCACTTTCACGGAAATAGGACGAAACCTTTTCTTTGCGGACCTAAGACAGTTCAACAAGCACAACATGCCGTACTCCGAGTACTAGTTTATACTGAAGGCGAGTTCTAACGTCCGCTTCCCAGCGAGCAGTCAAGTCTGGGTTCAAGAAAGGCAAATGAAATGGGGCCATTGCGGACGACATCAAATAAAATCCGTTGCTCATGTGTTTGTGCTGTATTCGGGGGTGGGGAGTGGTCAGTCCGTCACCTGGCAAGTTTAGAAGCCGTGCGTAGCTCTTTGTCATGCGTTGCTTGCAATCAAGGCGGGACCTGGCTGAAGAAGTGCCCGTGGCATTGAACATGTTTGACATGTGCGCGAGTCCTGAACGCCCCGAGCAACAGAGGCATGAGAGGCATCGCCTGCCAGCCTCCGAGGTACACGTGACAGGGATCGACATGTCGACGTCAAAGCCCAGTGCAGAGTCAGCAGAAAGCAAAGAGAGCGCTTTGCTCTTAAATTCGTAGCGGCTAGATGTGGCAGGTTGCCAAAGGCAAGGTCTGCTGCGTTCACTGCCATGCTTAGTTTGTAACTTATGCGGAGTTATGCACCAATCGATCATGTTGACTGCAGTGCAATTGTGCAGTGCATTTTCTAATTTCATATGATGCTGCCAAAGCTGAGCAATGCGGCCTTCACAACATGCAACCGCTTGAGGCAGCCTGAAGCTATTGCATGGTGCGCAAGGCATGATACTCTGCCAAGCAGAAGCCAGCACCAGCTCATGGGACAGCAACCCCCGTGCGTTTTGGAGATGAGAAAGCAAATGCATCTAGTTCCTTCCTGTTTCGTCCCGTCCGAGCACTTTAGGGCCGTGTCTGCGCAAGGGAAACTGACTGGGAAGCTGCGCCAGTGCAGCGCAGATACGATGGCCCCTGCCAAGTTCCAGGTGGAGGTGCTGATGCCCCTTGAGTTACATCTTGCTGATGTTTTGTCGTCGAATAATCAAACCTTCGGCCCTCCGGTTCTCGGACGCTTCCTACCGCAACTCAATGTGAGTGCGCAGGATACTTTTAGCAAGTTTTCGTGCGCCATTTTCGGATGTGCCCCTGTGGTTTTAGCAACTTGCTTTTCCTGGACAGTAGCATCGACGTTTGCTCGCGATCCCTGAATGCTGTTGGGCCACCAAGTTAGCAACATGGAAGTCGTGACATTCACAGGCCAAGCAGGTGGTAGCATGGATCACAACAACCATTCACCGACATACGCGCACTCTTGCTGCGTTTCTTTCTCCTTTTTGTTTGTCTCTCACTCTCTCTCTCTCCTCTCTATTTCATTTAGACTTCCTGTTTTCAGATCCATAGCTCATCCCTCCCATCGTTGGGAGTCCAAAGATATTTTCTTGAACTGCTGGTTGTAAATCATGTTATGTTTTGCGTTGTAAGTCTAACAACATCTTGTTCGTTTGGATTTGGATGTGCTCATGTATGAAATAAGGACACGCAGGAGATTTGTGAGAGAGCCGCCTTTTCAGATACAACGATCATCGCACGAGCTGGAAAGAATATTGCCGTTGTCGGTGTTAGAGATGGTAAAAAGGAAGACAAACTACTGAAGGCCTGCTATTGAAAGGGTACTTCACGCTGGCTTGTGCGGCGTCAGATGCTCGCTGCAACGTCCGAAGAGAAGAGACCAAGGGATGGGGAGGGGACCAACCATCGCAAATTACAATTTTCGCGTTACGATTTGTTTTTTTACTCTTATTACTGTGCTTACCTGTACTTTAGTCTATAGGCTCCCTTTCTACATTTACACGCACCACAGACCTCAGACACCCAAGACGCAGATACAAACGCAAAACTCCCCACGGAAGACACAGACGCAGACACAGACACAGACACGCACACGCACACGCACACGAGCGCACGCACGCACGTCCACGAGCGCAAGCACCCACGCACGCACGCACGCACGCACGTACACGAGCGCAAGCACGCCCGCACGCACGCACACAGACAGACACACACACACACACACACACACAGAGCACAAACACCCAATTCACCCACTGTCTTTCACGATTTCCATACTCGTTGTTGATGTTTTTCACAAAATCCAATATTTCCGAAATTGACTTCGGTGTGTTTGCTCGCTTGCGCTGCAACTATCAGCATGCCCTTCACGTACTTTTGGTATCCTTGAAAATAGTTGTGCTGTCTGGAGTGGTCGAAAACCTCACGGGTAGCGATGTTTTACTTCTACTACTACTCCTACTACTACTACTACTACTACTGCTACTACTACTACTACTACTCCTACTACTGCTGCTACTACTACTACTACTACTACTACTACTACTACTGCTACTACTACTACTACTACTACCACTGCTACTGCTACTGCTACTACTACTACTACTACTACTACTACTACTACTACTACTACTAACTACTAACTACTACCTACTACCTACTACCTACTAACTACTAACTACTAACTACTAACCACTAACTACTAACTACTAACTACGATCTACTATCTACTATCTACTATCTACTAACTACTAACTAGTAACTACTAACTACTAACTACTAAATACTAACTGCTAACTGCTAACTGCTAACTACTAACTACTAACTACTCGCTACTAGCTACTAGCTACTAGCTACTAGCTACTAGCTACTAGCTACTAGCTACTAGCTACTAACTACTAACTACTAACTACAAACTACAAACTACTAACTACAAACTACTAACTACTACTACCTACTACTAACTACTAACTACTACTACCTACTACTACTACTACTACTACTACTACTACTACTACTACTACTACTACTACTACTACTACTACTACTACTACTACTACTACTACTACTACTACTACTACTACTACTACTACTACTACTACTACTACTACTACTACTACTACTACTACTACTACCCCCCCCCCCCCCCCCCCCCCCCAGTGCGACGGGTGCCGCTTCAGGCGTTCAACCTGTTATGGTACTAGCTTGGTGTCAGGGTTGACAGTTGCGGTTCGGAGGCAAGGAGATCACACAAGGAAGAAGTCTTGCCGAACGCGGGTATTTAACGGATGCACGTGTGTCGAACGCAACTGCCCCCCCCCCCCCCCAACCCACCCCACCCTCCCAACACAAGACCTGGATGCCCGGAGAACATGGACATAATCATGTATCCAATGCGGAAAAACGCGAAAATGTGCTTGTTTTTTGCGGCATTTTTTGCATCGAAGAAGAGAACATCACGAGGAATATCCGGCCTCCGCGTCTTCACGCAGCTTTGCGGTTCGGAGGCAAGGAGATCACACAAGGAAGAAGTCTTGCGAAATGCGGGTATTTAGCGGATGCACGTAAGTGTCGAACGCAACTCCCAACACAAGACCTGGATGCCCGTCGGAGAACATGGACACAATCATGTATCCAACGCGGAAAAACGCGACAAAGTGCGTGTTTTTGCAGCATTTCTGGCGTCGAAGCAGAAAACATCACGAGGAACAAGAAGAAAAACACTGGTATTTACGGCATTTTCGGCAACATCACCAAAAAGAGTACACAGAATCGCAAAAAGCTGGACAAATAAAACCCCAATTTACAACGTGGGTTTTTTTGTGCAATCTGACGACACGCGAAAATGACCAAAAAATGTGAAGAAATATGGAACACGAATGGTGGTATTTACAGCACTTTTACAAACAAAAATAGGGAAACATTTTCGAAAACTATCACCACAATACCATGTTTTACCTTACGCTTTCGCCACTTTTGAGAAAGGACCCTCCAGAACTCGAGTAAAACGTGCGTTTTGGCAAACAAAATGCAAACAAGTAGCATTGTTGGCGTCACACCGGGGGGGGGGGAGCCCTACTACTACTACCACTACCACTACCACTACTGCTACTACTACTACTACTACTACTGCTACTCCTACTACTGCTACTACTACTCCTACTACTACTCCTACTACTACTACTACTACTACTACTACTACTACTACTACTACTACTACTACTACTACTTACTACGATTGCTACTGCTACTACTACTACTACTACTACTACTACTACTACTACTACTACTACTACTACTACTACTACTTCTACTTCTACTTCTACTTCTACTTCTACTGGTACGACGACGACTACTACTACTACTACTCCTACTACTACTACTACTGCTGCTACTACTACTACTACTACTACTACTACTACTACTACTACTACTCCTACTGCTACTGCTACTACTACTACTACTACTACTACTACTACTACTACTACTACTACTACTACTACTACTACTAGTACTACTACTTCTACTACTTCTACTTCTACTTCTACTTCTACTTCTACTTCTCCTGCTGCTGCACAACTGCTGCTGCTACTGCTGTTGCTTCTGCTTCTGCATTTGCTGCTAGGCGGCGAACAAGCGGATAGCACGGGATCAAATACGCACGCGATGGGTACTACTACGACTACTTTTACGACGACAACTACTGCTCTTTCTACTCTACGGCTCTACTCTACGACTCCCCGACTCTAGGACTCGACGTCCTCGACCTCGACCTCGACGACGACGACGAGGAGGAGGCGGAGGAGGAGGAGGAGGACGACGACGACGACGAGGAGGCCGGCGGCGGCGGCGCTCGAGCATTGCCTGCATGCTTAGAGGGCCAGATGGGGAAGATGAAACCGCGGGGAAGGCTTTCGGCCTCGAGGCGCGGCGCAAAGCGCTGGACGATGTGCAAGACTGCCGAAAAGAGAATTTGCATCAGTGGATTTTGCTGCCATAGTGCTACCAGTTCCGACCTGTGAAGAACGACATCCTTACGTTGCTGGCAGCGGCAAAGTGGGTTTCGACATATTTCGGCCCAATGTGTGACGCTGTTTTTTCTCGGCTCCAGCATTGCGCCGGAAATGCCCGGTTTCTTGGCAAGCGGGTCCCCCTCCTTGGCCAGCTTCATCATTTGAGGCATGATGCGCTGAATTCTTGCCAAAACGTTGTCGCGAGGCAATAGATGACAGCTCGTAAAAGTCAGTTTGATTGCAATCTGCTGCGTTGAGCATGCAAATGCATGTCAGTGAGGCTTGGGAGGACATGCCTAGCTATGAAGAAGCCCTCACCGCCTTTGCCGAAGCGCGGTCGCTGCTGGCCAGAGCAGAAGATGCTATGCAAAATGCAGTTCAGGCGCCTAATGGTGCGAGAAAGCGAAGAGAAGATGCCACTCAAGACTGCAGATGTGTTAGCCGTTAGCCGCTATTAGCCTCGCAAGGCAGAGCAGCAGAAGGTCGTGGAACTCAAGCGTGAGTTAGCGGAGGCTGGGCTTCGACTGTTGCAACAATGTCTTGATGTGATGACGCGCCTGCCACCACAGGCCAGAGAGGCATCGAGGAAAGCGGTGGCTGATGCTGCTGCCGCGCGCGATTCGTAACGTGGTCAACACCTGTAAACTTTCATCAGATTTAGCATCACTCTGGCACGGGAAATGAATAGTACTCTTTGTGCTCGTTCTATGATGTACTCAACTACAGTGCAAGGACTCCACATACACATCTAGATTTCATGTTCGCAGCTGAAGGTCAGGAACTTTGTAGTTTATGAAGGTGTTTAGCTGAGGATACTGAAATGCTGCTGCATGATGTTGCATGTTGTTACGGCACGCTTTCAGTTGCGCTATCATTGCCATTACCAAGGCAAGAGAAGGCAGGAACCTCAGGGCTCGCGGCACATCATGCCTCGGGGATTGCTAGTTGCTAAACACTGCGTGTGACGGCCGCTATGGTCAGATTCGCAGGAAGCCACAGGAAGCCATTGAAAGCCATGCAAGAGCAGCAAGAGAGAGCAGAGTGCAGCTTAGACCAGAGCTGTGGCAGATGGTGACAGGTCTAACCAAAGGAATCATACGTGTTGTTTTGACGACTTTTGACCATGCTACACTGCCAAACAAACCACAGTCCCAGCCGAATTTACAAATTGTTTACAGTAAAGTTTAGAAGGTTTAAGGATGTAAATTGGTGCAAGAGGCTTGAGAGCACAGGGCCTGCGTTCACCCCCGAGCATTCAACACACTTGTGCATTTTAAAGGTGCCCTGCTCAGCTTCTGTGACTTGCTGCGATTGTTTGCGACCTCGACACAACTCATGAACCAGGCTGAAGGTCGTCTGGAGAAGCTCGAAGAGAAGCTCCAGGCCACTGGCAAAGCATTGCGAAGGGCTTGGTATTGCGGGACACGACAGCAGAAATGCGAGGCAAAGCGAGATGCTATACAGGAACTACAAGATGAGAAGGCATAATCTTTGGGGTTCATGACTCTGGAGGCATCTAGCACGGCAAGGCTATGCACATGTCTGCTTATGACTGTGTCTTGAAAGGACAGCTTAGAAACCAAGCTCGAGAAAAAAAAGAAGGAAAACCGGGATCTCAAAGAGGAAGTGGAGGAGAGTATGCTGCGTGGGACTGTTGGCGCGACAGGGTGACACAGCCGGACATTGCCGTTCTCTTGCTATGTTCTCCGTGCTATCCGTGCTACAAATGTTCTCGTCGAGGAGCTTGAGAAGAAATTGGAGAAGAAGGCAGGGGATGAGAAGAAGAAGAGGCCGCCATTCTCGACATGGTTTGAACGAGGGGCATGCGATTTGGGATGATTTGGGGCGTCCAGATGATCAGTTTGTGGTGGGTTATGCTGTCATGGTGACCGCACATGAGCGACTTGTATGATCTTGTGATCACTTTCATCCGTGGTCGACAGTGCGTCTGCTTCCCTTCTGCACAGAAGCAAGCACCTTGGGCTTGGAGGCAAGAAAGCCCATCCAGCGGGAGCGAAGACGAAAAAGCCAAGAAGACGCAGCTGAAGTTGAAGGTCTTCTTCTCAGTTTTACCCTTGTGGGTCCAGTGCCCACTGGCACACGAGTATACAGGTTTGCGCGTGTGTCAGTATACCCTGATTCTAACGTGGCCTGTTGGGACACTGACATGTCCGACGGGATGGAGTCCTTGACATCAACCAACTGGGCATACTGGGAAGCATGATCGAAAGAGCAGCGTACATCTTGGGGAAGGGGCCATGGCTTCTGGCATTTCTTATGCCTCTTTCTAAAACGAAAGTTCTTCTTTGAGAGAGATAAGAGTGGAGAAGTGCATATGCGGAACTCTACGTGATCACGAACAGCTACCAGTAACATTCAAATCCATTGGCAGTTGAATTTCAGGCTGATTTCTCCCTTGTGTATTGGACAACCAGCTGCGACTGGGATCGTGACGTGCGCGTGGAATCCTTGATCGCCTATTCAATCCCACGAAGCTAGGGGAAATCAGTAGATGCATTCGGGGACGCTCGAACATGTGCCTGCCTGCATGTATTTGCCTGCATTTCAAAGACACAGAAGGTGTACGACATTTAGGACTGCTGTGCGTTGCAGTTGATGCTAGAACAGCTAGAGCCCGGATGCCTTGTAGAGTCATCCTCCCCTCCAAGGCAAAGTTTTCCAGGATCAAAGTCGTTTCCACGTGTATGTGTTTGAATCCCTGAAAGCACAGGATTTTCAAGACGTTAACAGCCCGGAGCATGGGACGAACATCTGAGAATCCCATCCAACGAAGCTGCCCGGATGTGTGGGCAGCGTCAAGGGACGCCTTGACAATGTACCTGTAAGATTGTAAGAGACTGAAGGTCCGAGCCGCAGAGTGAATGTGTTAAAAAAGTTCTCTCAATGAACCCAATCGGGGTCAGTAAGTAAGTGAGTGAGCGAGTGAATGAGCGAGTCAGTGTGTTTGTGTGTGTCTCTCCGTTTGCGTGTGTGTGCGCGTAGGGTTTAATTTGCTTGTCTTTGGGCCAAAGGCATCCGCGTCCAGAAGCTGCCGCCTGAGCTGAGATCTGCACGATGTACTGCCCAAGCCGTGAGAACAGTGAGAACTATAAGCAAGCTATAAGCAAGCTGATCAAGCTGAGTGGTATGAAATGTGGAGGCCGCAGTCGGGCAGGTAGCCCGGAAAGGGAACTTCAGAAGAGGAAAGAAAGAACGTCAAAGAGTCCAGGAGGCAAAAAGCATGAAGAAGCATTCTGTATAATCTGTGCCAGGCATGCAAAGGTTCACAGATTCAGTCTACTTGCCGCAGCCTTTTCAACAGTACGCCGATTTCCTGATCAACCATTCGAGCTTCAGCTTCAGGTCTGCAATGTTGCGCTTTGAGTACGCACTCTCTTATTGCATTTTCTGTGCTTGGGAACCAGGTTGTCAGATACACTCAGCGAGCCATTGAGTCCACGCATTGCTAGGCAAAAGCAGTGCGAGCTCCAAGGGTGGCCGAGATAAAGCCCGAAATAGGCCCGCAGCGAACCAAGAGCCAACAACTGAACAACTGCACTTGTGATGTTCCAAGCGGGATCTTGAGTAATTCTCTGGCAACCTGCCAGGAGTCGAAGTCGGAGTGGCAGCAGGGATCGCAGGCTTCCTGCTTAGCCATAGATCTTCTGTTCAAGCTAGGCGATGGAGCTTTTTCGGCACCCATGGCAGCGGCAAAGTTCAGAAGTTGCAAGTTGTTTAATGCAAAGGCAAAGATCGAGCGAAAGAAGAGAGTAAGATAGTGAGCAAAAGGCTCCTCAGCCGAGGAAACATTAGGCTCAACACACTCACAAGATATTGCGACCACACGCGGCCTTTGTCGATGAAAGCTGGCCTTTGGGCCAACCCAACGCCAAATCTTGAGGATATCTGCAGCTCCACCCGCGATGGCCTGGATGCCGCGCATCACATAGCAACATGCACAGAGCATCTGCCTTCTATCACTTGGATGTTTAGGAAATCTACGTGAAATATGTTTGAATATGTCAAATGTGCCAGTTTTCCCATATGTTCTATCAGGTGCTATCATTTGACAGTTATTCCAACCTCATTTCGCTCATTGTATAACTTTGACAAAGAGCGAACTTACCGACAGCAATGATAATACAAAGTTACAAAACTACCCAAACAGTGTGCCAACTCTAGGGTTCTTACGTCAAGAGTAAAAAGGGTGTTAGACTTGAGCTGTGAGGGCCCTTGAAACTGCCATTCGTTTCCTGTAGCTCACTCTTGGTCTTTCACTGCCATCCGGGTGTTTTCCATCTCCAAATGTCGCATGCAGATTGTAAAAAGCTGTCTGCGAAATATGAATATTAGCTTCCTCAAGTTCCCTTAATCGTTCCGCCTTTTGCGCAGGGTTTGTGTTTACATCTCGATCTATCTCTGAATTTATACTATGTTTATTGGGCTACTTTACGTCGTGGTGGTCGTTGTGGTTCAGATAGAAGTCGGGACAAAGCACAATTAGCCACCGATATTGAAAGTCAAAGTCGCGCCTGCAAGTATTGACAGCACACAGAATTCCCCACAAGCCAAGCTTCACTCCCGTGGCTTGGTATGGGCAGCAGTCCTTACAGGCGCGACGACGATCGCGACAGAGATCGTCGTGGTAGGAATCGGCATGGAAATGCAGAACATGTGCTGCCCATCTGAAGAATACGTTGTACTCATGTTGTGCAGGAGCCGCTCGAGAAGGCCGAGTATCCAAGTGCCTGCATACCCCAGACTCCCTGCGTGCAGACGGTGGCAGAGACAATAGTATGTGCACAGGTCTGCGCACGACCCGACGATTTTCTATGCTCACAGCTTTGCGTAGCAGTGTCGCCTTGTTGGTTGCAGGTCATCTAGCCGCCCCAGAAGCCGAAGCAGAGACTATAGAGCCGGTGGTAAAGGTGGGCAGCACAAGACATCGGCATAAACATTCAAGCATCTCGTAGCGAAGCTCACAGCGTCAGGTGATGGCAAAGGTGACGGCACCGAAGCTGCACATATGGGCATGTTGTGAAGGATCAACCGAACGGCAGGTGCATTATCATTTGGCTCGCCTGGGCAAGTCTGACAGGCACCCAGCTGTGCATCCCCTATGTCCAGGGGCGATGCCGGCGTGGAGATACTTGCCATAGGCTGAGCTCCTTCAGCCCACATCACACAAGACTCATCTTCTTTTGTTGCTGCCTTTGTCTTTTAGCATAGGTCGAGATAGACACCCTGCTGATGATTTGGCGATGCGCCAAGTTGCAGTGCTGGCAGTGCTTGCTCCGCCCAGACACGCATGTCTGTGTGCTGTGTAGTAGCGACGGTCCAGCGCGGCACCTCAGGATGCGATCTACGACACCCTCAAGCGCAAGCCTTGCAGATATGGCTCTGATTGCAAGCGGCGCGACTGTGCCTCGGACAGAAGCATAATCAAACCATTCAAGATGATGACTTCAGAATGCCAGGCGTTTTCAAGCATCCTGATGATGGTCGCCGGCGTACTACTGACTAGCAACGGGCGTGACAGCGTTCACCAAGGCAAGAGAAGAGGGTAGGGAGAGAGTGAATAGATAGATAGCTAGAAATGCGAAGCACCCCCCCCCCCCCCCCCCCCGGCCCCCCCCCCCGCCCCCCCCCCCGGCCCCCCCCCGGCCCCCCCCCCGGGCCCCCCCCCCCCCCTTTCCCCCCCCACGGCCCCCAGCCCTGCCCACTGCCCCAAGAAAGTCACCAGTTCAGCCAACAAGGAACCAACATTGTCAACCACGGCAAATAGACAAACAAAACAAAACGTCAGCATCTTAGCACTAAGCGAGCTGTCGGCGTGAGCGGAGCAGGGACCGAAACCTCTTAAGATGTGTTGCAATGTGTTGCATGCCTCCCTGGTGATATCAATTATTGTCCTCACCACACAGTGGAGACAGCCAACGGGTCGCCCGTACGTTGCAGGCCAGCCTGCTCCACCGACAAGCTAGGCTTCTCGATTTTAAGAACAAAGTTGCCGCATTGAGTGCAAGTGGCGCACACCATGTCTCCAACTCTGCAAGCAGTACGGCATGCAAAAGGCAAGCAACTCAAGAAGCAAGCAGGCAACTGCGCTGAAAGGACAGAGGCCCGGGAACCACAATTATTCATAAGCTGGCCCTAATGCCAGGAGGCTCAGGCGGGCAGCTCACGTAGAGCTGAAGATCAAGGGCAAGTGCTGACTTAATAAACAGGCCAGGGAAGCTCAGGCGGGCAACGGTACATGTTGCCTGAATCAGCGTCATGCAGGATGCAGGTAACTGTGCCGGATTGCCGTGATAAGCAGGGCAGGGAGGCTCAGCGATTGCAAAATATGTGGCCGCTGCAGGCAGGCCAAAGGCTCAGGCGTAGAATGCTTCAATAAGCAAGCCAACGAGTCACAGAATTCACAGACAGGCGAGTGTATTGGAATGTGGCTCGGAAGAAGGAAGAAGGGAGACAAGAAGGGAAGAAACAAGAAGGGGGCGACGCCACCGATCCCGCTCTGGTTGGAAATTTTCGAAATGGGGACAAGAAGGGGGCGCGTTAACCGTCCGGCTGATTCCAAAGAGGAGACAACAAAAGGGCGCGTCCATCGATCCAGTTCTGGTTCCGAAGGGGAAGACGCCAGGGGAAGCAAGAGGTCGACAAATGGAAATGGAGGGGAGGACATGTGGAGTCAAGAAGGGAGATCCAGGAGACAAATGGCAACTTGAGCCATTATCCCTGGAGGCGCTTCCCCTGATCACTCTGAATTTATAGAGCGCCTACAGTAATTTCTTGCGGACAATTCCAATAGCCTTGCAAAAAGAAGCAAAGGGCATGGTACAAGTCGCCCAGCTTCGAGAAGGGCAGTCTATCGATAAAGTTTCTCTTCTCACTCCCGTCTCAAGCAGTTGCTCAGCACGGGTTAAAAATTATGGACTTGTGAATGTGCAGGGGTTTAAAGAGATTCGATGTTTGAAGTGGTGTCCTCGAACCAACTGGCTTCTGCGAAAAATGATGGACAACATTCGCAACCAACTGCCAAACTTCCACCCCCTTAATAGAATGCTGGAAATTTGAGCCGCTGAGAAGCGCAAACCTTGCAGCTGTCGTTGATGTCTGGATTGCATCAGTCACATTCCATGTCTGCTGTGCCGCGACTCCTTGCTTGGCAAGCGAATGTGCGCAGGTTTTCGTCGGGTTGGACAGTGACAGCAAAAGATGGGAAAAGGCCGTGGGATGTTCAATGGCGCCCCGCTTTTTGGACTGGGCTGCCAGTAGAGATGCCAATGCAGCCTCATGTGTATGTCGGCAGCAATCAAGTGGCCTTTGACTCTATTGCCCGGCTCCTATCGGCTCGAAAACCTTACGAAGCAAGTCCGTGCCAGAAATGTCAAGAGCTCCAAGTGCAGATGGACGCCAGGACCGTCGACGTAGTTCCTCCTGCATCCGAAGTGTTGTGCCAAGCAGACGATCAAGCTCTGCACTGGAAGAGTATCCACAGACTGCTGTAACACGCGCTATTTATCACCATGCCAGGGCATACCTTGCAATTGCAGGGCCTGCCAGAACACCTGGAGAGAAATGTTGTCGCGCCGCGTGTGCAATTCGCCGAGCTGCGCGAGCTGTAATCCTGGAAAGTACGGTAATTCAGATTGTGCTGTGCTGCGTTGAACAAACCAAGCAGCAACAAGCGAGACTGGCTGATGAAATGTGGCGCAAGCTAGCAGGTGATGTTCGCTTCCTATTTGGAGGCACGAAGGACATCGAAGCGACCTTGATTGCTCAAACCCTGGCAGAAATGTTGTCGGGCTTCGATGGGGGCGATGATGTTCGGAATCGCTTCTTGAGCGTCGCAAAAAGCTTTGACAGCTCTGAAGTTGCTTTGAAACAATTACAGGCATCCTTCGGCAACAACTTAGAGGGGCTCCATGCTATGCGGAATGACTTCGACCGCTTCACGGCAGAGATCATTCGGCTAGTCAGCCTTCTGGAAGGAGACTGCAACAGCATGCGTGTTCAGTTGCAAAGAACCCTCAAAAGCCCGCGCCAGCGCGTAAACAGAAACATGTTTGGAGGCCTTGAGAACCTCGGGAAGGGGCGACTGATGGTCGAGGGGGTAAGCAGCACAGGGGAATCATCAAGGGATCACATCGCCACACTGCTGTCCACCTTGGAACATGATCTGTGCGATACCCCGCTGGCGGCAATGGTCCAGGTTGCCCAGGATGTCAATGATCACATTGTGAAGCAACTCAGTGACAGCGGCAAAGTCCACCTGCCACAAGCACAGGACTGTGCACTGGATGAGGTGAATTCATGTTCTCCAGACGAGCCCACCTCACCCACCAAGGTTGTGACTGGAATGTTCCAGGCACTGAGACCGTGTATTTTTGAAGCAACGGGCACGGCGAGTACCACTACAGCGGATGCCAGAGGCAGTGGAGTCACCCGAGTACGCAAAGCATCAAAAGGGCTAGAGCGGCTAGAGCCGGAGCCTTGTGTACCTGCACGAGTTGCCATGTCTCCATCAAGCCCTGTGCGCCCTCCAGTGGATGTCCTTTATGCACGTGCGCAGCTTGCTCGAGATTCGGCTGGCCTTCCGGTAGCAACATCGGGGATCAGCACCACCTCAGAACAGGCCGCCAAGTTTGCAGCTGTTGGCGCTGCTTCGTTTTCCCCTGAGGCCGTTCAGCATGTGGCGGAGCAGCGGGTGCAACCGCAACGTCCTCCAAAGCTCAAGCCACTGGACAACGAGCCAGAGCAGTGTCCCAGGGCGGCGTCGAACCGGTCGACCAAGTCTTCTACAGAAGCAGTGGCAGTTTCAGCGGCATGCATTGTGCCTGGTGTTGTGGAAACTGTTGAGCACAAGAATGCTTATTCACCTTCCGCTTCCACCGGGTCCACAATCGCAACAAGCATGAGCGTTGGTGCTTGTCCTCGGAACAATACTGGCCCAGATGCGGAACACCATGTATCAGCACATGAGAGCATCGTCGCCCCTGGTGTTGCAACGATCCGAACGCAGGCGGGCGGTGGCGATACCTCCAGAAAGACTGGCGAGAGGGTCAGTGGGCAGGAGGACGATACGATCCATGGCAGACTCCGATATCAAGCAGCTCTAGCGGAACCTGGTCGGTCTCCCGATGTTATGCTTGATCATCTTGACCAAGATGGCACAGGACCCGGACACACATCCCATCCTTTGCGAGGCAGGACTCCACCTGAGGAGTTAGCTCGTGAACCGGTCGAGGAAGGGGCTGGGCACACAAGCAGCCAGTCCATGCCACACAAGCTGTCGCCAACTAGTTTCCGCAGCATGTCGCAGCCAAATTTGGAGGATTGGCAACAGGCCAAGTCTAATTTCGTGAAAAGCCGCGGGGAAGTCAGAGTGAACCTGGAGCCAAGGTTGCCCGATGTTAGGCCAGGTGCATGCTCGGCATCTACACCACCTACGCGTGATGCGACCGAGAACGGCTTGGTAGCGACTCCGAGCACGTCGAGTGGCACTAAGGACGGCCGCAGGTCGGCTTCGCTGTCTCTCAACCCTGAGCCTCGACGGCTTCGTCACTCCGGCCCTGGAAGTTCTGGAGAACCTGCCGAGTTTTCTCGCTTCATCGCTTCCGAGCGTGAAGGCCTGAGGGTTGTTAGTTGACAATGGGGTACCCTGAGTTTTCCGCAGGCTTTGAGTAATGGGATTGTGGCAGTCCGGGGCAGGTCGTGAGGCTTCGCAGATGTCGCAGATGTCGGCGACCCCTTTCATGGGGAGCCCTTTGCTGGTCAGAAAGTCTAAGCTGGAAGAAAGACCTCGGAGACCTTCGCTGGCTGGGACACTTGTCCCGAGCTTGTGCCGAATCTGTTGATGTTGGCTCTTTTGACATCTTCATTTTAATCCCTCATCATGTCGCACATGTGTAGCAACTCAACTCAAGCATCTACTCATCCACTTGGGGATTTGTTCGACTGAATGATGATGAGAGACCAAAGCTGGACTGCCCGTCAGTTGGCGGGAAAGTTGGGCTTGAATTGCAGGCTGCACAACATGTCGAACATGGTGGAAACCGCGCACCACCCAGATGCAAAAAAATGGGACCTCCATGTTGGGAAAATAGAGGACAGACGGCTTCACATCAGCAAAGTCCTGCCAGAATTTTGTCCTTTGACATGCATCATTGGCAACCGTGTCAGTGGTGGCATGATGGTTGTCAGTACACTCCGCTGTACAAATCACGTGCCTCACACGCTGTTGCCCGTCATTGCTTCACCAGTGCTTCACCGCCGCACCGGCGGTGTAGTAGCGTTCCGAATTGTAATGCTGGCTGACATGCGCACTTATCATCAACCCAATTCTTCTTAATTCCCCCTCCTTGCGGAGAGTCTGCTACGTTACCCCAATTCACACTCCAATCAAGTCAGCCTCTGGTTGCCTTTTGGGACGACGCTTCCGCTAACTTACTACCAAGCACTTACTGTAGTCACGTATCTCTAGCCGCAGCGGCTTCCAGTTAATGTCGCTCGCGTGCATCCATTATTCATTATTCCGCACCCTCAGTGGGTCTGTTAGATTTTAAGCACAACTATGCCCACATCAAGCATTTCCGGATGCAACAGCGTAGATATAAGGAGAGATAACGGTAAAAGGAGACAGGACAGGAACATTTTGAGGACAGATAGCTGCCAGGCCAGCAGGCCTCTCTCAGGCCAGCACTTGCACCGAAAATAGCCGCCCAGGCTGGCGATCTAGCGGGCAGCAGGCCTTTCAGGCCGGTAAAGCAGTGCATACAGAAGTTCTACCTCTGGGCTACCCTCCACCTGGGGGTAGACATACCCTAGCCCTACCCATACCTTACAGGTAGCCTTAGGGCAGGGGGGTGGGCCAAGGGGAGGTGTACCCCTCCTCCTTGGGCTTAGGGCCCAAAACTTCTATACAGTTTCTATACCAAACAGTGGCCATACAGCGGCCCGCAGGCCTTTCAGGCCAGCGCACCGCAACATACACTTCCGCCACGCCCGATTGGGCTTAAGCTTGAAGAGCCACGGAGGGCTCCCCAGGTGTAGGAGTGCTGCTTAAGAGAAGATCATTACTAACAGCCCACCTTGGGCCCAAGATGCAACATGAAGAAAGCACGACAGAGCCTCAAACAGGCTCTCTGAGCCTTAGGCATACATACAAGGTGGTTTCTACAAAAGTAAGAACATAAAAGCCATAAGGACCCTAAGAATTTTAAGAACCCCAAGAACCTTAAACTAGAGAACGCCTGTCCCGAAAGCATGTTGGAGCCACAACTAAAATCTCAGCAATTTATGAATTGATAAAACACATATAAAACACGCAATGTATACGAAATCATCACAACATCCACTCATCCATCCATGCATTTTCCATCACAACATCCATGCATGCAGCAACGACAACGACAAATCTTGTTGAAAACTCCTCGCCACGTCTTCGCCTGGCCCACACAACGGGTCTTCGTTTTTGCATTTTGACAACGCCAAACACGCAGAGGGTCACCGTTCATGCGATCACGACACCCCGAGACCGTCGTTGTTGCGTTTCGACAACGTCAAAACACGCAGAGGGTCATCGATCATGCCATCACGACACCCCAAGACCACGCAGAGGGTCGTCGGTTTTGCGTTGTTGACACAGAGGGTCATGGTTCATTCGATCACGACACCCCAAGACCACGCAGAGGGTGATCGTTTTTGTTTCGACAAAAAACACGCAGAGGGTCATCGTTCATGCGATCACGACACCCCGCACCCACGCACAGGGTCGTCGTTTTTTGCGTTTCGACGACGCCAAAACACGCAGAGGGTCATCGTTTTTGTGTTTCGACAACGCCAAAACACGCAGAGGGTCATCATTCATGTCGTTTTTGCGTTTCGACAAAGCAAAAACACGCAGAGGGTTGGCAGGTTTGACCAACATATTAGCTAGTTTGAAGAGGAAAACTCACGCCATCCATCCAGGCATCAGCCATCACACCATCCATCCCATCATCCATATATCGACGACTCTTCAACGACAACCACCTCCGCTGAAAAACCCTCCGCCATGCATTCGGGAAAAAACCCAAGAAACTTAAGAACCCTGAGAACCTGAAGGACCCTGAATACAAAGCCAAGAACCCTAACCCCAGGAACAGTGTAGCCTTTTTGCACCATCGTGCTTCAGCGGCTGGGATACTTATCCAATGTGGCTTCAGATTTTCCTGTCGCTGGGTGCAAAATTGGAACCAATCTCGAGATTCTCAAGCACCAGGTTAAAAAATCAGCAAGGAGGAAAGAGAGAGAACGATTCCTAGTGTGTCTTTTCGTTTGCCGGTTTGCCGTTTTCAGGGCACCTCTTTACGGAAAAAGTGCTCGGGTGTTTTTCCCTGTCAGCCTTATAGGCCCGTGGGCTTTAGCCATTATTTCTGGTCGAAATCGTTGTCCAAGGGTTGAGTATGGTTGAGTGGAACAAGCAAGGGAGATCAAGAGTCCGAGGGGGTTGTGCGGAAGTTGGGCACGGGAAGGATATTACCTCAGCATGCTCTCACACTTCAGTGTGTCTCTCTGTGTGTGTGTGTGTGTGTCTCTGTCCGTTTGTCTGTCTGTCGGTCTGTCTGTCGGTCTGCCTGCCTGCTTGCCTGTCTGTGTGTGTGTGTGCGCGTATGAATGAATCCAAGGAATGCTTCGGAACCGCTTCTTCCTAAGCCCATGGAACTAAGCCGACGCCCACGCGGATTGCCGGCACCAACTGGACTGCAATCTGCAGCCTTTCTTCTTTAACACATTTGGCATTCTTACAGCCTGCTCGGGTTTATCTTAGGACGTCATTGAGTCGTTGATCGAGCTACATAAGGCACTGGCGTTACCAACGCGGCAAGCTCACGCTGCAAGCGCACCTATGCTGGGCCCCTTACGATGCTTTGCTGCAAGTGTATGTCTCGGTGCCATTGCCCCATGTCTTCTTGCGCTGTGCCGAAACTTGCCAAACTTAAGTTTTCGAGTCTGCAATGGTCAGGTACGAGACCCAGGTCCGTTGACACTGCAAGATACGATTTCAAATCAAACCACGGACCTCTGCCGACTTTAAATGCTGAAATGCAGGCAGAGGGGCTAAAGACCGAAGAGTTGCACATTGTTGCTACATTGTTGCAGATTGCTTGTTCATTGTATCTTCTCACAAGCTCGACATCGTCCCAGCACACCAGGCATCTGGCAGCCAAGTGCGTGTACATCAGCGCAAGGCCAGGAACCGAACAAAACATGAATGAAAGATGCATGCATGAAACGTCGGGTGGTTGGTAGAGTCTGGTGTACAAGGATGCTGGTAGAGTGACGTGTTGGTGAGACTTTAAGCTTTTGGATCCAGGCGTCCCCGGCGCCAAATGGATCAGAAGAAGAGACTGACCTCTTGAGGTAGATTGAGGCAGCGCGCAGTCGGGTGAGAGCTGGCTTCAACAAGCATGTCAGCTAATCATCTCCATTCTGCACAGATGGCCGAGTTTGTGTTTCACTACCGAAGTTAGTGGTCGTGCTTTGACGAGCATGTTTGCACAAGCAGATTTGCGATTCTATTCCTACAAGGCCCGACCAGCTTGAAGCACAAGCCACTCGCCTTGCAGTGCCAAAGCCACTTGCGCAAGGTGTCAGGATCACGTTTTGCACAGGATGGCCGCTCTTAGGCGGGTACCAAGTCGGCATCCAAAAGGTGTACCCAGTCCTGGCTCCGAAACTTCACCAACAACCGATAGAGGAGGTTTGTATAGGTTGGAGTGGAACAAAAACCCTGGCTAGTTCAACGTCGGAGCAGAGGTGTTTGGCGAGAATAGCTTGCTGATGCAGCACATCTGTCCATGCGAGATGGCTTACATGAACTTTACATGCATACACTAGTCCTGCACAGCTGCTACCCTGCTTGAAGGTCGTAACGTGATGTCGCAACTGATCGTACAATCTGTCTAAGCTTAGACTTTTATTTCAATGAAAAGCAAGACGCTTCGAACAGCCAGCAAAGTTCCTTGAAGGCAATGCCATCACCCTCACCACTTGTGAGCTGTGCAGTTCTTGTGTATGCTTTGCAGTGCACCTTGCAGCTCTGCAGTGCCCAGTTGGCCGAGCACATCACGCCGAACAGAATTTGGCCAGAAGATGCACCCATCGACAGCGATTCCCTTGCCACAAGTACCGAGTTTGTTTGCGACCGGGTTCCTTCTCGCAGACCATCCGTTATTCAACGAGGGCTGGAATATCCAGTTCCGAACTTGGCAAGGGATCCGCCAGGCGGCAGCGGTTCTTTGGCAAACATATTGCAGGGCCTGCGGCATGAGCAAGTTGGAAACATATTTTCTCAGACGCAGGTGCGCTGTGGCCAGTCTCCATCAGAAGAGCTATCAGACTGTGAACAAGCGTGGGTGGACTACATCATCTCATTGGCAGTTCCCTATGGAATTCCATTGGCCCTATCGGTGCTTTTGTTCCTCCTGTGGTTCACATGCTGTTTTGTAGCCTGTTGCAGATGCTGCAGACAAATGCTGTGCTGCAAAGAGAAGAAGGAGCCGACAAAGACATCACGGGTTTACGTCATCATCGGCGTTGTGCTGTGGAGCGGTGCAAGCGCATTCCAGGTGGCGCTTTGCTCTTCTATGATAGAAGCCAGTCAGACCTTGCACGACTCTGTGAACTGGAGCCTTTGTGTTGCACATCATTTTGCGGCTGAAGTATTGCACGGTTCAACTTGGTTCCTTGGCACGGAGCCTGCTCTACGTCGATTCAACAGTGTTGGAATTGCTCTTGATGCAGACAGTGTTGCCAGCAAGACACTTCGCAGGGTCATGGCAAACACAGAGGAGTTTGCCAAAAAGCACGACCTGCTCTTGCGCCGGCTCAGGCACATGTCAAATAATTTGGAGGCAGTCGGACTCGGCCAAAGACTGTTTGACCATCGCTGCGTCTTCTGTAATTTAGCGATGGGTGCGGATGCGACCGCCTCCCTTCCACCGGGATACCCTGCAGCCGGACTACTGCATGCTTTGGAGTCAGAAATCGTGGCTTCATCTTCGCAGGCGGCAGCTACCATACGACATATAGCTGCGAGCCATTTAACGAAGCAGAATCTCACAAATTTGGCACAATCCATGAAATATGCAAACATTTCCTTCAGCTTGTTCAATGAGGCCGTCGTGAAGGAAGCTGTAGCGAATCTATGGGTCAAGAACCGACCCCACATAGACACTGTGGAATCAATCCGGCACCTGTTGTTTGTGTCTGTGTCCGTTTTGGCTGGTCTTGGTGCGATCATTGGTTGGGCAGCGTTTCTTCGCACCCGTTTTAAATACGCAAAGATGGGTGAAGACCCTCTTGCGAGGCCTCCCAGCGGGAGGCTACATTTGGTCTCATGGTGTTGCGCGTTTTTGCACACGGTCCTCGCCTTAACGCTCGGGTCCAGTCTTTTTATTCTCACCATTCCGGTGGCTGAAACTTGCGTATTCGTTCGTGGGGAGTTGCTGACATTCGAAGGCTTGGAACGGTACGCTTCGGTGTTTGGTGTTTATCTTACGGATGAAGACACAAATGAGGCAAGGGCAGCCACTGAGGCTGTGAGGCTTGCTCAGACCTGCTTGTCCCAAAACCGGACTGGCGACATGCTTTTGGCCATCGGATTGGGTGGTACCAAGCTGGATTTTCAAAGTGAACTCGCCGAGAGTTTTTATCAGCTCGATGACCGGCTGGCGGAACCTCCTCTGGGTGTGCAGTCTGGAGATCATCTTCAAAGGTTGGTTGACGCAGCACAGGACTTCGGTGGCACTTTCTTGCTCGATCCTCTTGAGCCGGACAATGCAACAGGTTCCTATGGGAAGTTGGACCTCGGATCGAATGTAGAAGGCCTGCTTCTGAACTCTGGGCTCACGCCTGATGATCAGATCGCTCCTGACAGTGTCACATCCATACGTGGCCTCAACACCTATGCAGAGCTCATCGCAGGGCCTGGGCAATACCGGTTTATCTCGGGCACTTCTGGCGGAGGTTTTGTGATCTCTCCTACTCGGCCCTCGGAATCTGAACTCGAATCGCTGCCAACACATGTTCGCAATGCCCTTCGCTATGCACAGAACAAGGAGAGGCTGTTGGCTGCAGATGCCCTGCAGTGCAATACAATGTCTGACGATGGGCAGGTTCATGTCCGAGCCTGCGGCGTGGACGAATTCCATAACCACATGGTAGCCGAGGCCGTGTTGCTCAAGGAAACAATGGCAGCAACATCTGAGATGGCCAACGCAGTCCAGGTATTGTATCTTGCCTTTCTCGCCTTTCTTGCCTTTGCAGTTCATGCTTTGATCAGTTTTGTACTTCATACTTCGTAATCGCTGCCTGAGCAGCACGGCTGCCGTGTGTTCCGTCTTGATGGTACGTTCTGCACTGCCTGCCAAGCCGTTCAGGTTTGCCAGAGATTTGAAGTCTGAGCTTCTGCCAATTCTGACATCATTGAGGAGCTTGCAGTCCTTGCTGAATTGTGCAGCGATGTGACTTGTCACTGCACTTGCTGTCGACATTGGAGTTCATTCTGTTCCAGCACAAGCGGGGGGGGGTACTAGTACAGCACACTCAAGGTGGCAGCGGGTGGAGGAGTTGGACAGTTCTTTCTGCAATGATATTGCACCGTGGCTGAGTGCAGAGCATGACAGTCAAACATTCGTTGGCAGCAGTTCTTGACGAAGGGTTAAGAAGGCACACTGAAGGCATCGCAGATTGCGGATCTTTGGGGGTCCAAACATCTCAGGCTAATACTATCTCCCGTGGGGCCGCCCAGAGTATGGCGCAAGCCTTGGCTGCTTTTGTTGGCCTGGTCGTTCAGTACAAAGTCTGGCGCCGACTGAAGGACAACAAGACCTTGCTCGCTGCTTGGCTTGCTTGCTTTCCAGTCCCAACTGCTCAAGGAAGGAAGATTTGTGAATGCTTTAATGCCTGCGGCTTCTTAGGATGAACTTGACCGCTACGAAAAGAAGCTCCAGCAACACATGAGACAGCTGATGCAGATGGATGCAGCTCCACAAGAGCAGCTTGGCCTGAGTGTTGGCACACTTTACTTTGAAACAGGCGGTTCCCATTGCTTGTTGTATTCAACAATCACGACACGCTCCTTTTTCAAAGCGCAAGTCGCATTGGTTCGACTGTCAGCACCGACCAATGCCCTCAAGTTTCGTGTTCACCGGAAAGTTGACCACGAGTAGGACCATAGCACGCCACATGGAAACCATGTCATCCGGGGGCGTGTGGTTCATGAATAAGAAGTCTCGAACAGTCTAGAAAAAGCTCTATGGAGTGGAGTGCTATTGTGCCGGTAACATGTCGGTTTTCAGGGACCTGGGAGGAGAATCCGAGTGCATGCAAATCCATCGTGGTTTAGTTGTGGCAAAGCACTCCTATTGGTACTAAGGATTCTGCAGCAAGCGTGCGCAGTAGAGAATGCGCACTGCTTTCAGGGATTCTAGGCGTTTCCAAATATGTACCTGGGAGTTTGAGCCGATTCTGGAGTATAGTTGGGAGGGCGAGAGCACGCGGCCGACTTTGTCGGCCAGGTCAGCTGAGGACTGATTGGAGCAGGGGGCCTGCGCGGACTCAATGGCAATATGGTACTAAGAGGATTTGTAATGAACTGAATCGATACAAGTAAGTTGCGGACGCGTCAGAGTGGCACTACCCACCGCATACATGGGTGGTAGAGCTGCATGCCCTGTAAGGGGAGGCAGAGGCTTGGAGGCATCGGCAAAATGGGATATGCTCCTTGTCAGCCATTCTGGAATTGCAATTGATGCCTCTTGTGCGCTCCACATCATGCACGCACCTTATCACCTGTAATGTTACCTTTCGGAACCCTAAAATTCCTGTTTTTCAGCACATTGAGGTACCCTCTTCCTGGCTTTTCTCGGAAGGAGTTAAATGGATATGGTAGCTAAATATTACGGGTGCTGGGAACCAACTGCCCGATCTTCCATACCAATATCTCGTTCAGCAGTTTGCAGTTTGGCCTCAATGCTGCAGGCTCGGTTGGTGGTTTACTTGGATGACAGAACACGTGCTCGCCTACGCGGCTTTCGCAAGAACCACTCCACCAGCCAACCTACCCACATTCTCCGCCACTTACCTGAGATGCACGAACACCAAACCTCCTCATCTCATACCTTATTCTTAGGTCTAGGTTGGTCGTTCAAGGCATTTGCCTCTTTGACCTTGACTGCTGTTCGATCCGCTCCACCGCTTGTGGCAATCCCGAACCGCGCTATCAACCCCATCATTATAGAGCGAGATTCTGGTCGTAAGTCCGAAGTACGACCCCAGACTATGGGCCCTCTCCCGACGTGTTCTCCTGCGTTCTAGCTCACTGAGTTTATGATGTGGAAATCCAAGATCTCGGGAGTTTAAACATCTTGGTTCTTGTGGGACATGGGGCATGCAGAATACACCAGCCCCAGCAGACCAACTCAACCTCCTACAAACATATCTCACGAGGCTGTACCTGTCAGGCCAGGGATGGCTCCAATCCAATGGCCCTTCTCGGATTTGATAGGTCATGGGGTTTGCAATATTTTGCCATCTGTTCCACTCGGGCAGTACTCTGCGTCCACCTGTTGGCCGTTCGCACCCACGAACTCTAAACTGAAAATGCTGAAAAACTGCGGCCGCCTGAACGCTGGGCAGGTGTGCACCCACCACGCCTATGTGAGAAGGGGTCCAAAAATTGTGCCACTCTGCCCAGGAGAGTGAAACACCCCACCGCCCGAGATATAGGCATTCTCAGGTGGGTAAGGGGCACCGCTTTGATCGGAGCCAATATTACCTTTGGGTGAAACGTCCTCCCTTTCACGGTCGGTCAGGCCGTATGACCCCCAACCCTGGTGGATGCATTGTGGCGGAGACCTTCTCCGTCTGAGTTTCGAGTCGAAGCTCGAGAACTCCCCCGCCTGCCCTGGCCCAGCTAGCTTTGGTTGGTCGGGTGCTGCCCTCAAGCGATGGTTACAAAGGCCACAGCAAGCAGCTGCCCATGGCTTTTTGATCATGCGGGAAGAAACTGAGGAGCGCATATCTCTACAATTCGCGGCCTCAACTGGAAACAGCTGATGTTGCCGTGAACATTCAAGGCCTAAGCTCGGATTGACGCAGCGATTAACTCCGCAATGCTGATTTGTCACTTGCTTGAAATCAAGCGTGGCGTATTCTGGACACTGTTTTGAAATCGAGATTTGAAGTTTCGGCTGGATGTGGGCGAAGCTTACATTCAAGAATGATGCATCTGCCCGCAGCTCACAACGAAAAAAACGGCCCTGAACAGGAAACACACAGTGCGCTCTAGGTAGAGGAACTGCGGCCTAAGTTCGTTACGAATCGCATTGCTCCCGCTTCCAAGTTGATGTGCAGCTCTTCTTGCCAGCTTCTGGCTTTCACCTGTTTGGAATACAGCTCTTGATACCAAAGATACTTATGCAGTCGTGAATAGCCCACGGAACAGTTTGTGCGGTATAGAAGAGGAGGCGTCTGAGACGAATCCTGGCACCATCCTTTTGAAAGGCAAGCTGTAGATCCAGGGTTCAGCCTGTGAGCGCCAAAGATGTCCTGACAGACTGGATGCGCCGCGTCAGTTCCGTACAATAGGACCTGAACAGTTACAGTGAGCAGCTCCACAACACGACATTCTTTGACATTCGCGTCCTCAAGCAATGGTAAAGGCACCCGTTTGGCTTTTTGGGGCTCAAGAGGTTGTCAAGGATCGGTGCCTTGAACTGAGGTGGCTTCTCAAGCTGCATTTATTTCTTTGCATGGCACGCGATAGCCGACAGTACATGACGGTGCTCTCTTCATCTCTTTTCAGCATGCATACTGTCATGACGCATCAAGCAAGGTTCGGATGGCCGCCGCCCTGCCGACAGGAAGCTCTGTTCTTTGCATGCCAGGGCTTGACATTCAGCCGAGTCATTGCCGACATAAACTCAGCATTCTGCCAACGTAAGCACGCAGCAGGCATAAAAATAACAATTTTTGGATGTTATAGTGTGTGGTGCGACTTAGTGCCATGTGGCAGGCTATTCTGGAGCTTCGCTTCACACGCCGCGCAGGACTGCAACAAAAAAGTATAACATTGGGGTTCTTATGGGTCCTTTGATGTCCTTTGTCTATTTTGTTTGGTCCCTGTCCAGATGGCACACATGGCACAGGCAGTCACAAACCCTGTGCAGCATCACGCCGGTGACTGCAAATCCAGCGGTACTTCGGAGGATGGGGCGTTGTATGGTGTTGTCAACGTGGTTTCAACTGTCAGCAACAGAAGGCTGCACTACACTGCAAGGCAATCCAGCCCCTTCACTCCCAGAGATCGTGGTCCGCTTGATGCCAAGATGCGCTAGAGCCGCTGGAAGAAATGACGAGCGAGCGCCCTTGGAGCCGCATGTTCTGTCCTCGTAAGCAAAGGCACCCCACCGTGGTACACGCTCCGTTGGTGGCACACCCAGTCCCACCAAGAAGTTTATCGGCACCCAGGCACTTACGGACTCGCCACCACTTTTGTCATCTGCCTGGAGGGAAAGCACGGCATTGGCTTGCGCAGGATCTGCGTCGCAGGCTATGGCTCCACCGCAGCATTGCCACGAGAAGAAGGTCCTCACCCTATCTGGTTACCTATCGCCTTTTGAGACGAAGATGTATCTACGACGAAACCTGTAGGTTCAGTTTCTGCGCCCATCTATGCTTCCGCATCAACACCTCGAGGTTCGACCTTCGACCTGCAAGCAGAGCAGACTGAAGACAAAGATAGACAAAGCAGAGTGAGAGCATCATCCCAGAGTTCCATGCCAGGCGGGACCATGCTTCCTGGCGTGTCGGTTGTACCGCCGCTCGGCAGCACAGCAATCATGGATTTCAATGGTCGAGGGTTTCCAACTGTAAGTTCGAGAAGCGTTCATTTGCTCTCCGTCCTTTGCATCAAGGCGTGTTCGACATGTGCCCGGCTCGAGGCCATTCAGACCTATGTTGCATGACGAAGTTGAGACCCAACACCGCGGAATTGATGAGTAAGGTGTCTGAGGGGAAATTTAGCATAATCCGCGACAAGCCTAAAAGCCTACATGATTTTGGGATTTCCTTTATGCCCTTCAGTTCCACTCGTGCCAGGTTTTTTCAAGGTTTGGCCACAGGTGGTTTGGCTTTGGAATCCCCTTAACAGTTCTGCAGTCATTGGCACTGTGGAGCGGGAACGGGCTGGGCAGAAAGGGCAGCAGTCGAGTCCCTTGTGATCTGTGTCCTCCGGGTCCTCCGGGTCCTCCGGGTCCTCTGCTCCTCTGCTCTCCTGTTTTTCTGGTGTGCTGGTGCTCCGGTCGCCCGGTCTCCTGGTCTCCTGGTCCTCTTGGTCCCTAGTCCCCTGCTCCTCTGGTCCCCTGTCCTCCAATGTTCCGTTGTCCTGGTTCTCCGGTCTCCTGGTCCTGTGATCCCTGGTTCTACACACGACCGTTGCCATAGGAAGCAAGCCCAAACAAAAATCGCAATCTCTCCCACTCTCTCTCTCTCTTTTTTGTGCTCTCTCTTCTTTTGTTTTTTTCTCTCTCTCTCTCTCTCTCTCGCTCTCTCTCTCTCTCTCTCTCTCTCGCTCTCTCTCTCTCTCTCTCTCCTTCTCCTTCTCTCTCTCTCTCTCTCTCTCTCTCTGTTTCTCTGCAGCGTTGAGCGCGTCCACAGGTGAGACCGCTCATCAGCCGCCCACCCTTTCACTGGGACTAACGTGCGGGAAAACAGAACAGTCAGCGGATGCGTCAGGTAAGGGAAAACAAGTTCACGAAGACCACATACACGAGGGGCAATTCTGCACTGGGCCGTCCGCATCCCCTTTCGGGTGAGACGATAGCAGGACTAGGGTCCAGTTTCCAGCCACTGCAGGGGAAAACATGTAGTCGTTGACGCGCCTACCGGACGCACAAGGTGACCACTCGCGAGAAATAGAACATGGAGCAGATGTAGTCTCATCGTGTCAGCCGGACTGTCTCATCACATCCACTTCGGTACCCCCCAGCCCCCACCCACCATCCACCCAAAGCTTTCGTCAACCTTCTGGAAGCATTGCAGCATGGGTCGCCATTCTGGCACCGATCATCTCGCCAGTATTTGCTGATCGCAAGCTATGCTGTCCAACGTTGTGGCAACGAGACCTCGAGACATGCAGTCCTGAAGGGAGTGGGGGAACATCAACCCGTCACGGTCTTGTTGCTTCGCGCTGGACACGCCATCATCGTGCAGGGACTGCATGCTGACTGGAATGTGTACCGACCAGCGCGAACGCCGCCGATGCTTTCAGCCGTATGAGATCACACCCAAAAACTGGCAACAGCCTTTTTTGCAGCGCCCCTGAAAATTATACGTGGCATTCGATTTGCTTCTTCAGTTGGGTTCCTGGCGTAAAGCCCTTTCACCGTTCACTAGATTCCTTGTGTAAGCACGACACCGTTCACTAGATTGCGGAATGTTCGATTTTCATCAGAGACGGCGTTAGTTGTCTAGTAACTGCGTTTGAAAGGACAAGACTAGCTCCTCGATTCATCCAGATGCATGGTCTCGAACCTCTTGTGTTACATTTACCTTTTGTTATGCTGTCGTCATTTTGACGACGAAAGAGTCCTCCCTGAGTTTCCTTTGCTTCTTGAGTCTGTCAATGCAGACCAGGGGTATGGCTCACATGCATCGAAGATCGGTTTTTTGTTGGAAAACACTCCGACACCCGATGTACTTCGGTGAGGTCAGAAAGTTATCGATATGCTTCGATGATATGTGCATCGCAGACGTTGCCGCGTTCCGGAAAACAAGCAAAGAAATCGTGTCTGCATCGAGCGTTGCCGTTTGTTAGTTAATTAATTTCCACTGTTTGTCCAAACGTTGTTCAACCTTATTTTCAACTAGGGGAAGTTTTAACGAGTAACGTCCCCGTCCCCCCCCTCCCCAGTAGCTTGATTCAGACTCACCCCAGCCCCCTTCATACACCCTTGCGAGAGGTAAGAATTATTATAGTTTGCACAGTAACCGGATCTATTGGGCATCACCAGATGAGGTGTCAGCACGTGGCATCAGAAGTTCGTGTAGCGAAGTAGCATCATGGGACCACGTCAGACGTTTTCGCCGGAGGAGGCTCCGGGCAGGTGTTCAGGATGTGTCGCCAGTCGTCGGGAGATATGCCAACCCCCACGGGCAGCCCTGCAGACCCCCCAAAAACTTGAAGCCGAAACCCCAATTAGAGTGCAACGTGCAATGTTGTTCGCGTAGTTTTCGTGAAAGGTTTGTGACAGCAGTGTTTAAACTTGTTCAAACAATGTCGCAAAAATAATTGCCAGGACGTCATGTGCAAAGCGTTTGTTACAGTGGCTTTCAAGAATGACAAGCGAAGTTGGTAGGACCGGTCAATTCATTCCATGTGGTGCAGAGGCGAGGCCTCGCTGTGCAACTGTTGGCTTGCGTTGACGGAGTACGCGAATTGCATATTATCTATGATGCGCCGCGAGGGCAATAGTGGCCGTTTTCAATCGGCTCCTCCTGTGCCTTTGGAAGGGCAGCGGTCTCAACTGTTGTTCATGATGTGCGAGTGTCATGAGGAGAAATACGTTGCAGTATCAATTGTCCTTGTCCCTGAGCTACAACCATGTGGGTGACAACGAAGAAGTGGCCACATGAGCGGATTGCAGAAGCAAGGGCACGGGTCTCCGCGCACTGAACTCCCTTGGAGCAACTCCCGCACAAGTCGATCCACAGGCCTTTGTAGTTTCAAATAGTCAATATCCCAGTATCTGATCCAAACAGTACAATGCCGAATTCCCAGTTCCAAAACCCATATTGTTGTAAATATTGATTGCTGCGAGAACGGGCACTTTGCTTAACAAGCGGATGTTGGTTGTAGCCATTTCTGGTACGCGTAAGCAAGCATCACTGAAGCCATGAACGATTCCGCCTAATTGATAGGGAGCACGCCGTTGACATTCAGAAACTATCAGAAACTGTTCCTCGCTGAACTGTCACAAGAAGGCCCTGCTTTCAGGTGTTGCCGGCAGCCTCAGTCCGTGCTTAAAACAAACTGTCACAAAAGCCTGAGGTTGGAAGCAACAGGGGCCCTATTCTGCTCTCAGCCTTCGCAGGAGTCGGTAGTCAGCCTTTGCATCTTACAAAACAAGAAAAAAACGGTACGTTTGCGTAAGTTCGCATGTATCCCATTCCGGCTGGAAGGATGACAAGGGTCCTGAATGCTCAGTGCTTGGAAGGCCTGAAAGATTGGAACTGAGGGAATTGTACGTTGCTCCGGAAACTCGAGCACGCTCCACTTGTCGCAGGCTGCAGCAGGCCTTGGCCGAGCAACGTGCGGAGCATGAAGCCGCTTGGCAACACGTAAGGCGTGGAGTGTGCGTGTGTGTGTGTGTGTGCGCGCGCGCGTGTGTGTGCGCGTGCGCGCGTGCGCGTGTGCGCGTGCGCGTGCGCGCGTGCGCGTGCGCGTGCGGAGTGCGGCGTGCGTGGTGCGTGGGTGGTGTGTGGGTGGGTGGGTGGGTGGGGGTGGGTGGGGGTGGGTGTGTGTGTGTGCGCGGGTGTGTGTGTGTGTGTGTGTGTGTGTGTGTGTGGGTGTGTGTGGGTGTGTGTGTGGGTGTGTGTGGGTGTGTGTGTGTGTGTGTGTGCGTGTGTGTGCGCGCGTGTGTGTGCGCGCGTGTGTGTGTGCGTGTGCGTGTGCGAATGTATGTGCGTGTGCGTGTGCGTGTGCGTGTGCGTGTGCGTGTGCGCGTGTGTGCGCGTGTGCATGGGTGCGTGGGTGGGTGGGTGGGTGCGTGCGTGTGTTCCTGTTGGTTGTTGTTGCTCACTGCTGACCGTCATGATCTAGATCCAGACATATCCAGGCAACCAGCAGCAAACAAATGCAAACAACATGCTTTAGAGAGAGGCCCACGAAACCCTGTAAGCGACCATGTTTTCGAGGGTCCGACGCGAAAGATGAGAACCTGTAGGGTATTTCCTTCGGTCACCCGACTTACAACTACCTCAGGGAACCGTACGGCCGTCTTCGGAAACACGCTAGGATATCCAGGATATCCCTTCGTGGGCTTGGGCCACTCGGCGGGATTCTCTGCGGGCTTCTCTGAAACTGGGCTACCCGGGACTCTGCGCAGTCTTCTTTGTGGCACTCCACAGGGATATTCGGCAGGACTCTTTGCGTTCTCAGGACAATGGGGCAGGCGTCCTTACGCCAACTGAGTGTGCCTCTGGATGCATGTCTACACACAGGAATGGCTTTCGGCCGTCCTAGGGCATATCTTCCAGTCAATTCTGGAAGATATAGTCACTCCGACCACGTCCAGGTGTGCTAGGGAAAGAAGCTCCCAGCATGGTCACAGAACTGCTCGACCACGATGTCCTGAGAAGTCGGCCCGGATAGGTCTCTCAGCGGAGGTGCCCCCGCCTCCACTTTCTTCCTTCACACCAGTCAGGTGGGGGTTTCGTCCTACTCCGCTTCCTCGGACTTAGTCAGTTCCTCCTCACGCTCTTCATTGTTCAAGACGGTGTATGTCCACACTCGTCATTGCACTAAGCAGAACAATCCAGGTGAAGAGGCCTGAAGGAGAGCATGAGTAGCCTCGAACGCATATCATGAAAAATGCTCACCTTTGACCAGCATCGACACCAGCACAATCCTCCGGAGGGGGTGTGAGTTATCCCGAAATCTAGCTAGCAGCTAACCAGCACGTGTAGGGCCTTTGTAGGGCTTGAGCTGTAGGACCCCAGGTTGCTTGCAAGCGCTTGCAGATTGACACGCAGTCAACCTCTCGACCCGAGAGCCTTCCAGAAGATGTTCGCTAGTGCTTCATTAGCGTGGTTCTTGAGAAGCCCCCCAGTGGACAGTAGAAGTTGGAGACGGTACTGAGCTTGAAAGATGCAGTGAGCAACGTCGCAATATGATTGAGCGCAGTCTGCGAGTGCACATCAGTCAAGATTACATGCAGCCAGGCCAAACTGGCACAGCCCTGAGCACATAAGGGTCTTGAAACACTGCATGGGTTCTTCCCAGACTGATATTGCTTGCCCTTGGAAGGCAGTGCTTGCTTCAAAGATAGTCCATAGCTGCTGCAATCCGCATTGCCCGTGCTCGCAATGAGGTGCAGCTTCAAATGCATTGGGAGGAGCGTTTTGCACAGGTGCCCACTGCCCTGTCGATCTTTGCACAAAAATGGCATACTGTGGCCGCCGAGTCGCTCATAGGCAGTGTCCTTTTGGCACAGAGCCTGGTTGACTACGGCTGCTGTCGTGAGAGACTGCAATACTCATTGTGCCGCCGCCCCGTGGCACGAAGCGACCTGTCAGCGTCCGTTTTGCGATCACGCTAGAGGTCAAGCTCAGCGAGGTTTTGGAAGCATCCTTGGATGAACTCGGTGGACAGCTTGGCAGAAGCTTGTATGTGATTGCACGGCACATCTGCGATCACCTGGAAGACTTGCACAGGTCAAAACAGCGTTGAAGCCATGTCCCTGAAGTGCCGAGTGAAGGTTCTGGAGGCATGCGCGCTGGGAGAGCACTTGCAAAACTCATGGTGGGTCGGCGGATATGCCCAGTGTGGCAGGAGGCTAGCAGCCTTCCTGAACAGCTTGGGCCTCCAGATTGCTGCAATCGTGGTACATGGCATGTCGTAAGATATGATGGCCAGCGCTCAGGCCACGTGAGCCTGCCGAATCCCTAGTGTTTTGCACTTCGCCGGTACCATCGGGCACCCATACTGTGCTTGACTAGGGCTGGACTAGCTGTCACTAGCTGTCACTAGCTGCTAGCAGCAATGCTTTGACATCGCCGAGGGTAGTGAGGACAGCGGCGTGCGGGGCCAAACTTCGGAGGCCTCTTCGTTCAGATATGTTCAGGTATTGTGCTGGTCCAGGTTCCTGGGATTCCCGAATCTCCGCGATCTCCGCCCCGTCTTCGCTTGGAAGGCTTGAGTGTCTCATCTCTTTGTAAAATGTGCTTTGGGCACCTGCTCACCTGAGGTCTCAGCGGAAGCAGTGACAGCTTCAAGCGTTTGTCAAGTGAGCAGCTGCCTCGACGAAGCAGTCGTTTCCATTTGTTGGAATACGTCTGAATGGATGGAGGGTTTTCTCCTAACACCTCCCAACACTGCCTCAGTATTCGACCATACTCTGTCACTTGTGCATGCGTGCTCATGCCAACAGTCCAACTTTTGAGGTTAGCCAGGTTCGAAAGCGAGGCCGTCGCCAACAGCAGAGCCCGTCCGACTCATGTTGGTGCTTTGGTTTTTGTTTGAGGTGGCAGCTCATTCCCAGAAGCTGTTATCGTTTTCCCCAATGAAAACGGGCGAGAGTCGGCAAAGGGCTCGGTCGCTGTAGCGCATATGTTGCACAAACGAAGATGGCTACACCACACGACATGTGACAGCGTTTCTCGGTGTCATTGTGCTCCCTCGTGGCAGTGAGCTCACCCCGACACGAGGCCCATGGCCACAGCCAGTCAAAGCACAACTTTCGTTGCGCACCAAGCTAAAGCCATAGCTGCTGCATGCTGCTGCCTGGAGTTCGCACATTGATCTCGCCGTTGTTCAGATGTTGTGCTAGCGTGCCCAGACTCGGGAGCAAAAGCCCTGCAAGCCGAGGCAGACTGGCTCAGTCTCAACGCGACCACGCTTGAACCCAAACATGTGCAGCGATTGTGAGATGGCATCCAAGCTTGCCACTGGCCAGTGGATTCAATCCGATTCGCAACGAATGCGATGCAAGGCAGACTTGCTCTTCCGCGATGTCGACGGCCAGATGTGGCAGATATTTATTTCCTTGCACGGGTGCAATTGGATCAAACTGTTCTGAGGCTTGCAACGCCAAGACACAGACAACCGCCGGAGCATTGCCTCGGGTCGAGTGCCAACAGGACCTCCAAATTTTTCAAGGAACGTGCACTTGTCAGCATCCATTTGCCGCTGCTCCTCACTGAGCACGAGGCAGACAGGAAAGGCCACAAGGATCCACAGGAAGCACGGGAAGCACAGGAAGCAGGGCCGTCATCTCAATCCTTCTCACGTCGATTGGGCAGAGCACGGCTTGCCGGTTTGCATCATTTTGCATTGCATGGAGAGAATCCGCGTGCTGCTTCGAAATCAGGTTCCTGCCGAGAAGAACAGGGGAAAGTGCTCAAGCAGCAGAAGATCTGCTGCACCAAGCCTTCCAGCAGGTCCCAACGATAGGGTTTCCAGGCCCAAAGCTTTAACTCGGATGGTCTGGAGCATCTCGCCAATGAAAAAAAAGCCCGATGCTTGAGGGCCGTGTTTGAGACTGTCAGCTCATCTTGCCTACCTGCATGTTAAAAGCCTCACGAACATTCCTTTCTCAGTGTTTGCCTGCAGGCCGCTGCAGTGAAGAACGCCCTAAGCATGCTATATGCAAAAATCCAAGGATCCTTGAGTGTGTCAAGTGCTTGACCTGGATATGTTGACACGCGGCAAGACCATGTACTCCGGCACCTAGGATACGGCGGTATACCACTGATGAACGTACTCCAGCCTACTTTGTGGCGATCCTGCCGTTCATGCCTTCAGCATATCTAATGGTCACGTGCAGCATAGCCTCTGTTCTCCGCTCGGCATCGTCGTGTGCGATGCATCTCTCTGCACAAGGCCATGTTAGCAACGGAAACTACAGCTGGGTCCGACCCGGAAATCCAAAGGCCACACCCCGCATGTACTGAATATGCAAGCAAGTCTCTGTCGCGAAATTGTTCTGCTGGGTTGCTTGAGTTTGGTATGTGTTTTGTTGGTTTTGCTAATGTTACGCACACATAGGGACCGTTACAAGAATTATAATTGTAATTATACTTTACCTTGAATTGTGTTGGCAATTCCAAGGGTTGTTGACTAGGCATTGAACAACTTCGGAAGCCTGGATTTAGGCACAACGCACTTAGCACAACAGTCCCTGACATGAGGATCGTAAGTTGTGCACGGCTCTTCCTTCATGTTTCCACATCGAAACAGCCTGATCTGCCAATGCCATTTATGTCCAAGCCTGCACCAGGGCCAAGAGGCCACCAATATTTGCGAAGTCCACATGAGGACAACAGGTTACACGAAGCTTAGTTTGTGTTCTTCATTGTCGTTATTGGTGATTAGTTATTGAGTTTGTTGGAGAAGTTTGCAGCTTTTAGTTGCAGCCCCATGGACGATTCCGGCGTTCCCCGATTATTCGGGCAGGAGGTCATTCCTGACCCCTGTCCATTGGGACCACAAGGAGGTAGCGCGACAACGACACAAAATCAAGCTCGGACCTACCTCAATGATCTTGTTCAAAGCTCAGAGTGGGCATCGTGGCAGGCCAAAATGCTCTCATAGTTAAAAGTCTCCTTGAGCAAACAGCTTTTAAGGCCAATTTCCTGGCGCAGTCTCAGCACGGTGCGTCTGCTGGCGTGCCAGGTGTCTCAGAGGCCTGGATGTGTGGATCGCATCAATCTGGTGTTACTGTACACATTTTCTTTACGATCGTTACTCGTTAATTACTCCTGAATCGAAGGTGGCCGCTTTGCAAACCCTTTTGGAAAACGTTCGCAAGGCTGGCCTATCGTCGCTTGGCTGTGAGCGGTATATTACTGTTCCTGCAGACTTTCTGTTTGAGGTTTGTTGACAACGTCCTACTCTAAGGAGTGTCCCAGGACAGAGTTTGCAGCCTCCCATCGTAGAGCAGGCACGGGATGTTCCAGTCATCCAATATTTGCCGGAAGTCTGTGTTGTCAGCATAGCAGAGGCAACAGTTGTGCTGAGAAGCTCTGCGCAACGGCAGGCTTGGCCATGTCCGAGTGCGCAGAGGTGCGTGATGGAAAAAGCTATGCGCTATTCGTGTGGTGGAGGAAGTTTGAGAATTGCTGTCCAGGCTTGTGCCTCCAGAGGTTACTGGACCTTTCGGCCCGTACCTGAAAAGCTTTCCTGCTTTTGCCCGTTCATAAGAAACTTCCACATTTTCCCTTCCCAAGACCCATAACCTTGTAAGGCCCCTGTCAAAGCCCCAACTTCCAAACCCCGATGTAAGACTTCGCAGGAACAAGGTAAGCTCCGCAAGATTATTGGATAGAGGGCAGCACACGCTTTAGACATTCAAGTGCTCAATTCTACGTTGATATCCCGGTGCAGAGCCAGGATGCGTGGACTGGAAGTATACTACTATAATACCCAATTCGGATTGTTCATACACTCATGAGCGGCCACACTCGGAAGAATACCGTATTCTGATGTATTCTGGGGACCTTCTCCGGGTTTGCCAGGATGCTTTCAGCTTGCAGAACCAGGGGCCAGTAGATGGAAGAGGTAGCTGGGCATTTCCAGTTTCTTCGAAAGCCTTCAGACCAGAAGCGGAGAAGACATGAGAAGACATTTGTTGGCAAATGTCTCGACTTGGATCGAGCTTGCTGAGGTGGACTCCAGGCGGAGGCTCCGTTGCCTTCAAGCTTTGGCTAAAGCCTGCATCAGTGCTTCAGACTAGTTTTGGATGACAGGTCCCCCCGAACATCCAGCTGGCAAAACTTGCCGAATTCTTCCGCCTGCTTGAAGAACAAGAGCAGGTGCCCTCTTGCATTTTGCACATGGGGTACCTTTTCTTGTGTCAAGCAGTGATGCTCAAGCCAGGCGCACGCAATGATGAGTGACAGCAGCTGGACCTGTGAACAACAGCAGATGGCCTAGAGGAGGGCTAGTTTTCTTGATATTGTTACGATTTCGAGGGTCGCACTCGGAATATCCAACTAAGGACCGTTCTATCTCGATGGCTGCAGGACTTTCCAGCAACGTCATTTTGGTTCCAGTTTGCAGATGTTGAAAGAGAGACGTGCGAGGAGTCACGTACGCAGTTGCAGCAGCTGCGACAAATGCAGCAGCTGCAACAGATGCCAGCTTCCAAGCTTTCCTGCTGTGCGCACAGGAACAGCTGAAACACAGTTTTTTGGAGGCAGCGCCAGATGCAGGAGCTGCAGCCAAAATTGCAGCAAATGCAGGAGTCCCTTGGCAGCACGATGGAAGCGCTCCGAAGAGTCCGTTCCTAGTTACCTGTTCGTTTAAGGATGGTCAACCGCTTCATGACAGCCGCTTACATGGCCAGCTCCCAAGTTGGATGCCCTTGTTGTTCACAATCAATTGCAATGCTTTCTCCGAAGGCTCAGCAGCAAGTGCCGCAAATGCAAACTCCATCCTTTACGTCGTTGCCGTCACATCATGCACCTCCCGCGCCTGGGTTGGACTGGCCTGGACAGTCGGACACTCAGCCAACAATCTCTGACAGGGTTGCATGATGTGACAGTGGCACAGGTCTGACGCGAACTCATTTCCAGTCACTCTGGAGTCGCTCGCCAACTATGGTCACCTGCCCGGAAACCGATGCAGCGTCAGCATGTGCAAGTGTGCTGTACGCTTTAATTGATTGAGCTGTGCTGTTCCCTGTTGGTCACGCATGAACCCTTCTATGTCTTGCCAGTTCAGCATTGCCCCGAAAGTATGTTCTAGTGGCACCCTGCAAGCAAAAGTTTGCCTCTTGCGTCTCAAACTTGGAGAAACTTCGTAGACAGGTATGGACAGGTGCTTCCCTTCAGATAGATAGAAATATATAGAAATGATTGTTACAAGGAGTGAGTTGACAGCCTGCCGTCATTCGCTTATCAGGCGCTTATCCATTCGCGATTGTTCCAGACATGAAACGAACACTGTCATGAAATGCAGTGCCTTCAGTGGCTTGATGTTTGTTGGAGACAATGGAGGAACTTCACGACACTTCTTTTAAACACGTGTCACGAGTGCCACTAACACTCCCCTAACCCCAACACCCCTGCTGCAAAAAACAACATGCTGTGCACGTTTGGCCTTGCAACTTCTCGCTCGTACAAAAGATCTCGAGTCTTGCGCATGTTCACTTCATCCAAGAAACGCTGCACTCAGGGCAAATGGGCATGCCTGCCGGCTCCGTAGCAGCAGGCAGCCATCACTCAGGCTCACGCTTTGCTGCAAGTTGCTGTCACTGCTGTCACCATTTTCCCTGCTTTTTCCCTGGTGCTCCAAGCAGGCCATGACAAGGTCGGACGGGTGTGCAGCTGAGTACCACTGAGCACTGAACAACAGCCTGCTCACTAAGAGTGGATGGTTGTGTTGAGCGTCTGCTGCTTTTTCACGTCGTCTTGGGGATGCATTGTTGCGAAGATTGACGGCAGCACGTTCAGCAATCATACTGTGACTTCGTCCCAAGGTGCAGAACCGCACGAATCATATTCGAATCAAGAACACCCAAAGGGCTGGAGGTCAGCAGCGGTCTTGCGATTTGGAAAGATAGTTGTCTACAAAACAAGCTCTCCTATTGCAAAGCTTTGCAGGTTGGATGAATGTGGAACCCGAGGCTTGTGCATTTTTAAAGGTTTGAATGTCGGAACGCAGCTCCGTCACTGTAAGTGGGCCAGGAGGCAACGCAATCATCATCTCCACCTTCGAGCTCGACTGACAGGGACCTTGCCGTGTTGTGCCGCCGCACCATGCCGCATCGCCATTGGCCAACTGTAATCTAGCAAGCATGCCGCAGCATGCAGGACAAGAAGAGTACATTGGGGATGCACTTGACGCAGCTGCAAACTGAAGACCCAAGGCACAGATCCAAGATCCTTCCTTGAATTGATTCTTTTTTTGCTGGCACTGCCCGGTTGTTCTCAAATGTTCTCAAGGTGTGTCTTCATCACGTCAGAGACTCAGTGCAATTGCCCCTTTCCCTCAAATGAATGCCCCCACATTTGCATTCTTTTGGAAGGCGACGAATCAATGGTATGGGCTTCCAATCAAAGGCGTTCTGTCAGCTCTGAGCCCCCGCTGTCTGCTGTCCTTTCGAGCTCAGAAGAGCTGTTAGTCAGCTGTCGGCTGTCAGGATATTTTAAGCGCCTTCTACGGACAGTACGGCAAGGTGGTGAAGGTGCTCGTTGCTCACTCAAAGGCCACTTTGCTAAAGCACAATTTCCTTGAGCAAAGGTGCTGGAGTGAAGGCTGCCACACTGCGTATCCTTCCTCCTTGGTTCAGCCTCCAACTGTGCAACCAACCCTTCATCCTTGATGATTCTTCCCTGGAACTTACACCCTCTCTGACTCTCTGACCTCCAACACTTCCTGCTTGATGATGCTTCCCTTGGAACTTAAGACCATCTCTATGCTCCAACCCTTCCTCCTTGATGATGCTTCCTTTGGAACATTACTGTAGACCCTCTCCAACCTCCAATTGCGGAACTCGTCCTCGTCGACGATGATGACGCTGAGAACTTAAGACCCTGCAACCTCCAACAATAAATCTCTTCCTCCTTGACGATGATGCTTCCCGTGGAACCCTCTTACCTCCAAAAGTGCAAAAAAAAGCTCAGTTGACATTTCAAAACAACGCATTGTGCATAGTCAGGAAAGAGATACAAAGAGCGACAGCATGCACAATCATCACAGCCAGCCTGGCATGCTAGCTTTAAGAATATCGCAATGCACGCCGAGGTGAAACCATTCCGTCGACAAGGTGCTCAGTCACGAATTCGGCCTGGCAGTTGGGTCCTCGTTTTTGTCTTCTTCAACTGTGTCATCGTACTGCGGTCATTTTGCAACCACTGCTGCAGTTTGGTGGACTTGACGAGTAGGAGCTGGTAGATGCTTTAAAGGTCTTGGATTCGTCGTCATGGACTCGCCAGAAGCCGCCTTCAGCCTAGCCTTTCAAGCATGGCTTGACGTGGAACACACTGATGGTGACAAAGGTTGAGAAGATTCTGGAAGTTGGCACCACTCAGAAGGTGGCTGGCCACATGATCAGCTTGCCTCTCAGATCCTTGCCGCGACGGTCAACGGAAGTGCTAGGCTAGCAAGTTATTCAGACTAAGGTGTGGAGCCTTTTGAGCGAATCGCAAAGCCTCAGGACCCTGGCCAATCTGTAGCTTGGCTGACTTGTAGTGGTGAGATTCGGGCTTCAGCATCCTCAGCATCCCATGATGCCTAGGCTGACTCCACTGCAACAAACGGCGACTCAACGACAACAGGATCAGGTGAACGTCCTGATGTTTGGTCTGGCATGTGTCCAAAAGAAAAGTGGCAGGTTCCGGCTCTGGAGGGTCGGGCTCTGACAAGAGCTCGACGGGCAGCGCCAATGGATTGGGCGATTCCAACGGCTCCGACAAAAGTTCTGCTGGCAGTGCCAATGGCCTGGGCGAGAGCGGTTCCGGTGGTTCCGAGGAAGGCTCTGACAAAGGCAGGCAGAAGCCATGTTGTCTGCCACAGTTGTTGACATGCAAAAGAAGGCTTGGCAAGACAAACAAGCCTTCTTTCAGGCAATGGCTTTTCAGCTGATGGATCCCAGCCAAAGGCAGAGGCCATGGCATAATGGTCTCATTTCCTGGATGACAGGTATGCAGCATGTGGTCTTGTCTTGCTGTGCAGGGGAGCCAGGGAAGTTCAGAAGATTCAAACCCTGGAGACGGAGACTCTCAGTCCGAAGCAAGCAACCGGGCAACGCCGGCAACCAAGAACAGATTCATTGATACGTGGACAAGAACATGCAGAGCTCATTCGCACATAAGGTCTCCAGGAACCGGCAGGAAGAAGGAAGCTTTCGAAGAAGGAGTCCTACCTGGTGGGGGAGCTTGGGCTTTGGGGGGAGGGGGGGGGTTCAGAGAGGATGCAAATCTGTGATTCATGTCTTTCAGTAGCTTCCTTCTTAGAGCTTCTCACATACTAAGGCGAATCAGAAAAGGCAGAGAGTGGATGATGCGTGGCATTGTTGTGCTCATGCTCGACAAGCAGAACTGGCACTCAACTTGGTCTTTGAAGTAACAGAGGAGACAGAGATAGGGAGAGCGTGCCCTAACGAGATAATCGAGATTGACGAGATGTCGAGATTGGCAATTTGGGCTTTGTTGTTCCATGGCTAACACAAGTACACGACATGAAGCACGAAACGCGAGGCAGCGATGTACTTCCAGTTCAGAAATGACGAGGGGCTTGATGCCCTGGCAGAGTGCCGTGATGAACCAAGTGAAGGGAGTCACATGTCACATGTCTCACTTGACAGAAAACTTGTTGACAGTGTCCTTGACTGAGGCTACACCCTCCAATACTTCCGGACTGTGCTGGACCATCCAGCCGTACAGCTGAAGCCCTGTTTGCAGGCCGCGATGCTGCTGGCTGGCATTTAAAGGCACTTACCGGTAAATCGGGTCCAACGTAAACAAGTTGTAAGCTTCCATAGCCGGCCCAGCAAACGTGCCATGCGAACAACAAATCCAAGCTGCGCTGGAGCGCTAGCTGTCACTTCCTGTGCTAGACTTTTTGATTCGACATAGCACAAGGAAAGAGCAGCAACTGAAGTTCCACCCTTGTATGTCCCCGTGTCCACTGCCGGTGATATTCACCAGCTACACACATCCATTTAGCGGTTCAAGCTGCGTGCTCAGCTGCTTAGTGTTCACATGTGAAATCAACGAAGCTTGGCAGTGCATCGCCAGGTTTGTCCTGGCATCTCGGACACGAAGTGCCTAGTTCCTTGTGGCAAGTGCTTCGCATTCAAGATCTATCCTGCAAAGTCTATCTTTTGGTCCCCACTGGCCCCGGAAACACAACTTAAGAAGTAGCTCAAAGTTGTCAGTAAGGAAAACAGGTTACAAGGCTGGAGGTGGGGACCAGTGAAAATCAACTTCGGCACAGTGTTCTGTGATGTAAGATAACCATTGGCCGAGTGATCTCTTAACAGCTTCATCCACCTGTACAGTCGTGGTACATGCAGAAAACTCTGTCATCCGGTGTATATATGGTATGCCTATGTACGTTGTTTATTTGCATTTGTTGGCTATCAATGAAGGTGGAAGGTGGACTGCCCTTTTCGTAGTTTTGGCTGGCAAGAGCTTGTGGAAAAGCAAGGGGCCGCCCACGCAGCATGACATCCACTGACCAGAGGACTGGACCTGCTCAGAAGACAAGCCGGGTCTGCCTCCAAGGCCTTGTGCTGGCAGACGGAAGGACTTAGAGTTCCTTGATGTTCACTAGGCTTCGTGGCCTTAAAGTTCAGCCGTCTGCTGGCACAGCGACGTTTCATGCGAACCGGGCCGGAGGCAGACTAACTGGCCAGAGCCTGAGTGGGTGCCACTCATGCCTCGAGAGCTCTGATTTTTTGGCCGAAAAGTTTTTGGGGCAAGATCTCAGGTAGAGTGTTCCTCTGTGTCAGCTGAAACAACAGCAATGCCACAATCTAAGTAGCACATACCATATCAGCCGCCAAAGCAGTCAGCTCCTATAGGAAATGCGAAAACTTGGGGAGGCGAGGATATGGCCGACCTGAGGCCACGTACGAAGCCGTACAAGGTCAGGAGACCTCCAGCAGCTGACTCTCTGCAGAGAGACTTGTGCGCCCAGTGCTGGCACCTCAACTTGCGTGCCTTGCAAAAAGAGGATTGTGAGCACCAGGCACGCACATACGCACACTGCTTTGCCAAGACACAGATTGGCAACCATTGGTGATTTCCCGCGCAGGCAGCCTAGCTGTCTCCATTTCGAAGTGCCCTTTCCGCAGAGCAGAAACCCAGCAGCTGGGTATGAGACGGGAAGCTGCTGCTTCTTGCAGGACAATGCAGATTGGCTTTTATGTTTCACTGACGTGAGACGGAAACCGTTTTGCACCGTTTTGCACAACGAACAAATAGCTGTGAGAAGCAGCATCACTTGCAGGACGTACATTTTCGCGCTTTTGTCTGACCAACTCAATTCGCAGCTGGCCGTAGGTGTTGGCACATGAAACTCTGAGATTTATGGTATCTTAGGTGCTGTCTGCAATGTTATGGGGGGTTCGTGGCCCGGCACCACGGCTTGCCGTCGTCGTCGGAGACTTGGTGTGTTGGAGCGGGCGCGACTTTTGCGGCGGATCCGCTCGATCATCTGAATTCTTGTGATGCGAACGAACACAAGAAGACACCAAGCAGGCATGGTCATGGTGCAATCCAAGCTGGTGCTCCGGTGTATTCAGAGAAGCTTTCAAAAATCAGTGGAGCATTGCTTGGTTCAGCACAGCCCAGGTCGTAGAGTTGGCAGTGCGAGTCGGATTGCGGCTTGTGATTCCAACGCGAGCTTTCATCGAAAATCGTTGAGAATCCAATGCTCTGTAGATGTTCTGAATGAGTGGGAAATTTGTGGCACTTTTCGAATCGAAAGCTGTTTGACGACTCCAGAAACTGTTTGACTTGCTGATACCTGCTGAAAACATGGCGCGCGATCTGCAACATGCGCTACTGCCAGTCATGTGCTGCTGCATTGTGCCGTTGAAGGTTGTGGTGAAGCTCGGTCCATGGAGGAGTCTATGTATGGAGGGACTTTGCCAGAAGTGGCTACACATTCTTTGTATATGGGGTGGGCTGTAGATCTGTGTCGACAGCGCTGCGTCGGCTCAACAGACTCCGAATCCTCATCAAACAGAATTGCTGTTAGTTGTGTCTTGGACCGGCTAAAAGTCGTACCCAAACTTGTGGGTTTGTGAACCTTGTCCATGTCCAGGAACATAGCATACACTCCGACGGACTGGCGGTCCGGGATACTACATGTCAGCGCTATGCCGTGAACAGCAACTGCAGGCTGCTGTTTCGTGGACTGCCAGTGCATTCCTGACCCTCTTGTTGTAGTAGTTGCTTCAAAGGTTGCGAAATAAGTATGCTTTGACGGTTGTGGCAGAGGTGGTGCCGGGCTTTGACTTCATTCCGCGCCATTGTGATTCACTTGGATTGGCTCTGACTGCTGCAATCCCAAGCAAGATGTCATGGTACGTTACAATATCCTGTGGGAATTCCATGCTCCGTCGAGCAACATATGAAATTCGAGCAACGTATTTCATCACGGCAGTACAGCTCTGTTGAATGTCAATGACAGCACACCTCTCGAAGGCAACTGGATGGACTGTTGAAGTTCCATGTGAGCTGCAGCGCTTGAGGGAGAGTGCTTTTGACAGTAGGAGGGTGAGAGAGAGCGAGAGAGACAGAGAATTATGTATACATATATATATATATATATATATATGCGATCCACATCGGATCACCCATAATCCTGGACATTCATCAGACTCCTACATCCTGCATTTGTCGTTCCACCATAGGAAACATTCATGAATTTTATCAGTCACATCCTCATGATCGTCAGTATCACATACAGATAGTTATACAATCTATATATGGTTCCCCCTCCCCCCCCCCCCCCCCCCCATGATCCACACCTACGGTTTTGCTAGCTTTTTCTGTATTTGAAGTTTTTCCTCGGGAACATGCAGTGAACAGTATACTCTGTTATAAGGGGCTGTGTTACTAAAGCCATTTCAAGACTGCTACAGGCCGGTAGCTCCCAAGGTCTTCATGGGCCCCGTGTAGGCTCGTTCGCCCTCACAGTTGTTCGGGCCCGTGTTGAGTCCTTCCAGTGACGCCATAGTTCTCCCGAGTCGTGCCCTTCGCCCGCATCCGGTTCCTCCCTTGGGACAGTCTGGCTCTGCCCTGTGCGCATCCAGTTCCCCTTGGTTGAGACAGTCCGGCTCTGCTTCCCGGATGCACTTCCTCCTCAGCCATGCCTCCACGGCCCAACTTCCTCCTGTCCTGCTGGCTGCGTGTGCTCGTTCTGTCACTGCCTGCTGTTGTGCCTTGCGCGGGGGATGTGCCTGCTGCTGCTCCCCAATGGGCGCCGTGAGAGGGGGGCCCTCACCAAAGCCTTAAACACGGTGTGGTCTTCTGATGCCCCGTTGGTTAGCTGGGACCCCTTGTGCGGCTTGTGGTCCTTGCCTCGACGCGGCCCGCTGTTCGAGAAGCAGCGGTCGGCTTGGCGCTGCCACCGGGTTGCAAACAGGTGTGGGCTCCTTGGCATTCGGGTTGGAGAAGCTAAAAAGCCTGGACCTAATTACACCATCACAGCCATCCCAGCCTGCGCGCAGGCCTCCAGACCCGGCTGCCGATGAGGACCGTCCTGCTGTGAGGCGCCGTGTCGCTCGTGAGGCGGGGTCTGTTAGATGTTTCTGCCCCGTGCCAGGGTGCGGACTTGGTGACCCCTCGCGAGCTTCTGGTTGGGCATCTCACTCTGCAATGCGCCATCACCTGAACGACCATTGCTCCGGCACCTTGCAGGGGGCTGTGCCCGTTGACTACTTGGCTTCTCATAACCTTGATGCCTGTCAGGTCTGCGGGTTGCTTGTGGACCGTCGCTTCAAGGGTTCGCACCCGCGCTGCCGTCCCGTCAGCCGGCCCAACGCTAGGCGCGCTCCTTCTGATGGGGAAGATCCCTCTCTCCCTACTTTCGAGGAGGTCATGGCGGCTCCTATCAGGTTGCTCGCACCGCTTGGGCCCAGTGCCTTGCTCGGGCCACCTCAACCGCCTACACTCTCAACACTGCTGCCTCTTGGCAGCCCGTCCTCATGCTCCCCAAGGCGGTCCTGTGCACCCCGGCTCGTGGGCACTGGGCACAGGCGGCTCAGGCCACCAAGCGGCGGTGCCAACGCTGGCTGAACGGGGAAAGGGGGAAGCTGTGGGATGAAGTGGACGTGCTTCGCCGCCCTGGATCATCTTCCGCCCCATCGCTTGAAGCTCGCCAAGCCCGATGCTGTCTTCTTGCCGCCGAGGGTGAGTTGTCCCGAGCCTGTGCCACCTTGGTTGACCCACCCCCTCTTCCGCCCAGCGCCGAAGTGTTTGAGAAGTTGCGTGCCAAACACCCGGTGTCCGCTCTCCCTGACCTCGCCCAGCTCGGGCTCGCCCGCCCAGCGGCCGTACCGGAGTTTGAGTCGCAAGCTGTTGTCCGAGCTGTCCGCAGTTTCAATCGCGCATCTGCGCCCGGCCCCTCCGGCTTGCGCCCAGATCACCTGCGCGAGGCTTTGCAGCAAACCGCCCACGCCGACGAAGTTGCCACGCACCTTGCGTTGCTCTCCCATGCCCTTGTCAAGGGAGACGCTCCTGCGTCTGTCGCCCCGCACCTTGCTGGCGCTTCCTTGCACACGCTCCCCAAAAAGCTCGGGGACGTTCGGCCCATTGCAGTGGGGGAGGTTCTTAGGCGTCTTGTGGGCAAGCTTCTTTGCCATGCCGTCCGTGAAGAGGCGCGTGATTGCCTTTGGCCTCTGCAAGTCGGCGTCGGCACTCCTGCGGGGCGAAGCGGCCGTCCATGCCAGTGGGCTTGGCGGCACGCTTCGTCACCTGACCGGGTGCTCGTCAAAGTCGACTTCCGCAACGCGTTCAATTCTGTCTGTCGGGAATCCGTCCTCGCCGGAGGCCGTGAACACGTGCCGGCTCTACAGCCAGGCCTCACATCTCCGCTTCGGGGAGCGGGTCATGCCCTCTACCACTGGTGTGCAACAGGGTGACCCCTTAGGGCCCTTGTTGTTCGCGCTAGCGCTGCAACCCGCCCTTCGAGCTGCCGCGGCTCACCCCGTTGATCTGTGCTTCAGCTACCTTGATGACGTTGTCATCGCGGGGTCCGCGCGGCGCAACACGTTGCGCACGCGCTCCGGGATCTTATCATTGCGGCTCGGCGCGCGGGGTTGCATCTCGAGCCCAGCAAAAGTCTCCTCGTCCTCAACCCTGCTGCGGCGTCACATGTTGACATGTTGCTGTTCCCCTCCGGCATACCCGTGGTGGTCGCCCACTCCTTTGAGCTTTTGGGAGCTGCCATTGGCCCCGACTCATTCTGCCAGCACCACAGTGCGCAAGTTGTGGAGAAAGCTGCTAAATGCCTGGGGGCCGTTGTGCGGACCCCCACCACTGCCTGGCTAAAGGCCTGCGCAGCGTGGCCTTCCACTAAACCGACTTTGTGACGAGCTACCCAAAGCCCACGAGGCTCCTGCTAAAAACTGGACGGGCCCTGCCCAGCTTCTGCTACGAGATGCCCCCGCACTTCGACGTCCATGGCTTCTACCAAGGACCGCTGCTGCCGCCCCAGCCGGGTGCTAACAGATTGCGGGGTAAAAAACCAAAGCGTGGCCGGCCCGCGTGTGCCAATGGCTAGCGGCTAGCGCACCTCCTCGTGGATACCCTGCTGGCCTCAGGTGCTACGACATTCTGCGGACGGGGGGCTGAGCCACAGCATAACAACAGCTACTCAGTGGTGGTTCCCTACCCAGAAAAAGAAACTGCTATGTTCAGGGGCGCCTCAAGCCCTTCCGAAAGGCGACGCTATGCAGGAGGGGAAAGATGGGCAAAGCTAAGAGCAGACATCCGTGCTGGAAAAGGAGCTGGAGCGGTCCGCCTTCCGGATGGCGGCTGCATGGGGTGAGAACGGCTGCGCCCTTGCCCGTGACGAGGAGCAAGTGCAAGAGCTGCACGAGCCCATGCAGGAGTGGCCCAGGGCTATAGCGGCCCAGGGCTATGACGGGCCTGGCCGTCATCGTGGAAGACGAGGCTGAAATCGGCCTTCTGTGTGGTGGGCGACATTTCAAAGGCCCACCGTCGCTACAAGCACCAGGCTTCCGAGCATGGCTTGATGGCCTGCCAGGCGGAGGAAGAAAGAGAGCTAGCTCGGGACGAAGGTCAGTCGATGGTCTACGTCAACAAGGTGGGGACCTTTGGCCTATCACCCGCGAGCTACTGGCGTGTGGGATCCGCCTGGTACCTCATGGGAGAGGGCTACCCCCTGGAGCTCCTGTTGTATGCCGACGACTTGGAAGTGGTAGGGCTGGGCGCTAAGGGGAGGCAAGGCATCCCCATGTGCTACCTCCTGCTGGCAACGCGTGGTGGCTTTCGCGTGGAGTGGCTGGGCATGGAGACTGACTACGTGGGCGACAAACTGGGTCTGTCCAAGAGGAGGGCAGACTGGCTGGTTGAGTGGCTACGTGGCAAAGTCGCTGCTAGCAAGGTGAGTGCGACAGAGATGTCCAGGGACTGGGTTTTGCAGCAACCGCGCGAGATTGGGAACGATTGGCACTCGCCGGCGTTGTTATTGTGTGTCATTGTCTAAGATCACGGCATCTTTGAAATCGATTTGCTTGTCGTCATTATGTCTGATGAAGCACTAGCTCCAAATTTAGTAGTGTTGAAAAACCTGTCTAGTGTTGCGCTTTCATCTTATAGCGGGGGGGGGGGGGGGGGAGCGCTATGAACAGCATGTAAAAGATACACGGCTCTTGCTGTTTCTTTGGGTTCAAATCTAAATGCCTTCGCTGCATCATCACTTACATTATGGCTTTGTAACTTGTCGCCCAGAATCGTGCAACAATGGGTAGAATAATTCAAGGTAGAAGCAAACTTATGCAGCCATATTATGTCGTAAAGCTGTTCATGTAAGACGTGACCAATCTTCATGGCAACCAGCAGTACCTGTGGCCACCGGCGCAAGTGCAGGAGGTGGCTAGACTCGGCTAGACCTATTGGGTGGTATTCACCCAAACGCACATGTTGCTTAGACTCCAAATATCGCCACCCGTCCGAATTCCCCTGCATGTCTTAGAGCGTTTCAAGTTCTCTTCCCTGAAAAAAAACTCGATTCTTCCCCAAATCACGGAACCCAGTGGCCAGCACAATGGGTAGCATACCTTCAAACCCCAAATTCGGTGAAGGCCGGGCCTACAGTGAGTGAGGTTTGCCTGCAATCAGGCCGTGAAGGCCTTTCGGGCATTCCAGTGGCCCAACGTGGCCAGTGAGATAAGATCGCACATGCTCGGTGGGACGGCAGTGCTTGAAGCAGCGGGGACACCATGACAGGTCGAGGGTTGGTCCATAGAGCTCAAGAAAAAATGACTAGAGCTCTCCAGGCAGGACATGAAGTCAATTGATTTCATGGAATTACAATTTAGCGTATCAAAAGCTTGAAGAGGTGAAGATCTGCTAAGCGGCAAGCTTTGGGGATGTCAGTCCTACTGCAACGTATGTGCTCGAAGAATCTGGGTTGTACGTATGTAAGTATGTACGGTATCTCGTTTTGTGACATGCCGGCCAACTGATAGTTTGTTGCTTAGTTTATTGCTGCCGAGGGAAATAAGGAATCATGATTTAGAGAAGTCACCACACGTTTAACATCGCTTGATTCAAAATCCTAGCAGGGTTTAAATACAAATGACAAAAGGTTCAGGGTGCAAGGTTCAGGTTTAGCTTGCCGATGAATCCCGCGGCAAGGGAGCATGTGGACAGGTGCGAGAACCTCAGCCGTCATCCGCTGAGGTTTAGGGTTTAGGGTACGGGGGGCAACCAAAGGGGAAGCGGGATTAACCCCAAAGACAGCCCAGAACTTATACTCCCCAGATCGACCAGCACAACAAACCCAAAACACGGACCAGGAGAACCAGGGAAGGGAACAAGGAGGCCTATGCCTAAGCACCTAGGAACCAACCCCAACCCCAACCCCAACCACGCGGGCTCTACCTCTTTTTTGCTTGTGGCCTCAGTACTTCTGGCCATCTTGAGCCAAGTATTATCGGGTGCATTGACCCTTTTCATCTAACCCCAACCTAATTCCTGAATACTAACTGCAGCTCCGCACTCCCCCTGTCGTAGGATTTCCTAGGACACTGACTGGAGGTGCAGATGCTTGACCAAAAAACTGTCGCTTTGACAGCGGTCAGCTACATGCTTAACGTCCGATGGACGGGCCGTAGCCATTAACTTGCACACCATGGTTTTGCGTCTTTCCAGGACGAACCTTCAGCGCATTGGCCGAATCCTTTTGACCATTGAGGATTTCTTCACCTCACATTAAAAAGTCTATGTTCCAGCGGCCCGTTCCTCACCAAGGAACTCAGCATTCACCACCCAACCTTTCTTGACACAATGCTTACAAAGCGTCTTGGCCCTGGGTTGTGAATATCGCAGAACATCACAGTCACTGCGTGCGTGCATACAGTTCCCACCCACCGTTGTATACAAAGTGGCACTCGCGGGAATAGCCACCACTTTCCTGACCCACAGCCATTTATACAGCCGCCGAAAGAGATACCTGGCCAATTCCCAGAGTGTGATTATTGCCACCAAATACACAGCGATATCTGCATTGTTGATAACCATTTCAATACCTTGAGCCAGAACCATGACCGTAGACGTGTTGGCGACTCTGCACACTCCTTCTTCTGAGCAAAAAGAATCCAGCATTTGACGCTTCTTCTTCACCAGTTGCCATCCCTTGAAGAGATGCAGCCACCATCATGACCGCCATTGCAAGAGAGGCCCTTTTCAAGTCAGTTCCTTGCACCAACATTTGGAGACCCCAAAGCGCCTTTTGCTTTGCGTAAACCTGTCCACTCATCAATTTTGTTAACAGGTCAGCAATCATATACTCACCACGAAGATGTGCTATCACCATGTAACCACGGTCCACCAGAGACCTGACACCAGCTGCTCGAATTCTCAGGTGCCTTGTTCTCCAGCTTCCAGCAGGATATTGAATAATTGAGCACGTTGAAACCGAATCTGTATACAGCACTTTTTGCAGCGCTTCTTCACCAGTTCCCACCAAAGCGGCAATTATAGGGGTACACGACTGAATCATCGTTGCTCCCTCTATAGACGCATGCAACTCAGCCTCAGCAGTACTCAAAGCCACCGTTGACTGTCTCTGTGTTGCCCACATCACCGGGCAATCACCCCAAACCACCACCGCTCCTGAGTGGCTCTTTTCGTTTTCACCTGCTGCAAAGCTAGCATCTGCGTAGGACTCTACCACCTTGACGCCTCGCCCATAACGCAACAACTCATTCCTTTCTTTTTCGCTTGTTGCGATTGCTCCAAACGTCAAGCCTAACGTTGGAGTTGCAGCAAGGTATCGAAATACCTCCTCAGCCTTTTTAACCACGAATCGCGGCCTTCGGGATGTCCACAAAGACAACTGGCTTGTGCAGAAAGCCAAATCAGGTCGAGTTTTGATTGCCACCCAGAGGAACTCCCCTACGGCACCTTGAGCCGCTCGCAAGGAAGGAATATCCACCTCCTCTTCTTCACCTGGAATTTCTTTCACCATTGGCAAGTTACTACCTTTTCCAGTTTCATCAATCTGATACCCTCTTCGGTTCAGCAAATCTCTCACGAAGTCCTCCTGGTTGAGAAAGAAGCTGCCATTTCGATACCAGATTTGGACACCCAAAAACTTCAGGAATCCATCACCACAGCCTGGACCACAGAACTCAGGTTCAGAAGTTTTCCACTCCTTCCTGATCTGTTCCAAGGCTTCTCGGAGCACTGTCATAGTCCCGGCCATCAAAAAATCATCCACGTAAAGACCCATTGTCCCTACCAACTTGCCTGCACCTTCCAGCTTCTCTTGTGCCATAATAAGGAACAGACTTGGGTCTGCATTGGACCTCTGAAAGCTCATTGCTTGTCCATCCTTTGACACCCAAGACATGCCTTGAAGACGCTGATCTCGCCACTCCACCCATGCTGCAGGACTTTCGGCCAAACCGTACAAGGCCTTCCTCACAATCCTGTGCAAAGACCCAATTTCACCGCCGCCCTGGGGGCTGCACCACCACCAGACGCCCTTCTCTCTGCGCCCTATTCATCGGCGCCGTCAGAAAAGCTTTGGAAATGTCTAAACCAGCGATGATCCACTCCATATATGCTGCGTGCCTCACTTGACACCTAAAAGTAGTTGAATCTAAACCAGACTCGCTATTTAAGGGGTCAGTGGGCAAAGCAAGAAAACTTCATTTAAGATTGGTTTTAGTGTCCCCTTGATCCTGTGTTGTGCAATTTGAGGGTCCAAAGCTGGGATTTGAGGAACTTTAAAAACAATGGGCCAGCTGGATTTTGGGAACCTCAAAAACAAACACACCAAGATGCATTTTCAAAGCCCAAAAACTGGATGTTGGCAAGTTCTTTCAAGCATTAAGGCCATAAGATGCCCATGGGCCAGCTGAGGTCCGGGAATTTACAATGCATGCCAGAACGCGTTTTTTGGAAGCTAAAAAACAATGGATTTCGGCAGGTTCTTTCAAGAATTCAGGCTGGAAGATGCAAGAATTCAGGCTGCAAGATGCAAGAATTCAGGCTGTCAGATGCCCATGGGCCCATGTGCCAGCTGGGGTTCGGGAACTCAATATATACACACCAAATGCATTTTTGCAAAGCTCAACAACAAGGATCTCAAGAATTGCGTAAGATGCCCATGGGCCAGCTGAGGTCTGAGAACTTACGACACATGCCAAAACGCATTGTGCGCAGCTCAAAAAGTTGATTTTGGCAGGCTCTTTCAAGAATTCAGGCTGTAAGATAACTCAAAATACACACCAAAATGCATTTTGCAAAGCTCAACAGCAATGATTTTGGCAGGTTCTTTCAAGAAGATGCCCATGTGCCAGCCGGGGTCCATGAACTCAAAATGCATGCGACAACGCATTTTTCGCAGCTCAAACAATCGATTTTGGGCTCTTTCAAGAATTGAGGCTGTAAGATGCCCATGGGCCAGCTGAGGTTCGGGCTCCAAAAGACATGCCAAAACGCATTTTTCGAAGCTCAAAGAATCGATTTTGGGCAGGCTTTTTCAAGAATTGAGTCCGTAAGATGCCCATGTGCCAACCGGAAACCAGTAACTCGGAAATACATGCCAAATCGATTGTTCGCAGGTAACTCGGAAATACGTGCCAAAATCGATTTTTCGCAGGCCGAAAAATCGATTTTGGCAAGTTTATCAAGAATTGAGTCCGTAAGATGCCCATGTGCCAACCGGAAACCGGTAACTCAGAAATACGTGCCAAAATCGATCTTTCGCAGGCCGAAAAATCGATGTTGGCAGGTTTTTGCAAGAATTGAGGCCGTAAGAGGCCCATGTGCCAACCGCAAACCGGCAACTCAGAAAGACGTGCCGAAATCAATTTTTCGCAGGCCGAAAAATCGATTTTGGCACGGTTTTTTAAGTTTGGCGCTTGGCTGGGGTTGGGGCTCAAGTCGGCCCCCGCGGACAACAAAAGTCGATATTTGGGGTTCCAAATTCCCAACCCCAATTATCCCCAATCCCGGGCGGGATTGGGGATA